GGGCTTTTTCCCCGTCAGCGCAAACCTCTGCGCGTCGAACACACAATGGAGAAGTCTATCAAGGCCGAGGAATACCCGGACCACGCTGTCACAAGGGAGTTTAGTGAGGATGGCAAGATTGAGCAAGGGGCTCAGAGTGGCCTGAATGACCCCAACCATGTCGAGTTGCAGCGTGCGCTCAAGGCGAGACATATTACTATGATTGGTAGGTGCAGTTCTTGGTTGGACACGAGCACGTGCTGACAGTGGATAGCCATCGGTGGTGCTATTGGTACTGGTTTGATCATTGGAACGGGAGAAGCTCTTGCAAAGTAGGTGACGTTGGGTTGCGCTAGACATTTTATCCCGAGATCCAAAGCTAACAATATTTCGTTCAGGGCTGGCGTGAGTGCATACACCGGAATTGACTCGAGAACCTTACTAACTTGAATAGCCCGGTGCAATTCTTATTTCATATGCTTGGGTTGGTTTCATCGTTTTCCTGGTTATGTGCGCTCTTGGAGAGATGGCGGCTTGGTTGCCATTGCCCTCTGGTTTCACTGGTTACGCCGTCCGATTTGTTGACCCTGCACTTGGCTTTACACTCGGTTATACGTACGTATTATCCATTCACCTCGATATGATCTCGCTCACACGAATCTAGATACTGGTTCAAATATATCATTCTATCGCCAAATCAAATGACTGCAGGTGCTCTGGTCATATCATATTGGATACCTACAGAGAAGGTAAACGCTGGAGTATGGATTACCATCTTCCTGGTAACTGTCGTCGCCATCAATTACTTCGGTGTGAAGTTCTTTGGTGAATTCGAGTTCTGGTTGTCCTCCTTCAAAGTCGTTGTCATCCTCGGCATCATCCTCCTATCCTTCATTCTCATGCTTGGTGGTGGACCGGACCATGACCGTAAGGGTTTCCGCTACTGGAAGACCCCAGGTGCTTTCAACCATTACAAGATGGAGGGAGCACCCGGTCGATTCTTGGCTTTCTGGTCCACGATGGTGTCCGCTACCTTTGCCTACTTGGGTACTGAGCTGGTCGGAGTGACAGTCGGCGAGGCACAGAACCCTCGCAAGACAATCCCTCGCGCCATCAAATTGACCTTCTACCGAATCCTGGTCTTCTATGTCACGAGCGTGCTTCTAGTTGGCACACTTGTTCCATACAACTCCCCAAGTCTCCTCTTCGCTCTTTCAGACGATAACACGAAGAAGGGCTCAGCCGCAGCTTCGCCCTTCGTCGTCGCCGTCGAGCTGGCCGCCATCCCGGTCCTATCCCACATCCTGAACGCCTGCATCCTTCTCTTCGTCTTCTCAGCAGCAAACTCCGATCTGTACATCGCCACCCGTACAATCTACGGCCTGGCCCGCGAAGGCAAAGCCCCCAAGATCTTCGCTCGCACTGACCGACGCGGCGTTCCCGTCCCCGCACTAGCTATCTCGGCCGTGATCGCCTTGCTGGGCTACATGAACGTCAGCAGTGACTCCAAAACTGTGTTCAAGTACTTCGTGAACCTTGTCACCATCTTCGGTCTCCTCACCTGGATCTCCATCTTGGTCACTCACATCTACTTCGTGCGCGCGCGCAAAGCCCAGGGTATTCCCGAGGAAAGCTTGGCCTACAAGGCTCCCCTTGGTATTGCGGGCTCATACTTCGCTCTGGGATTCTGCATCCTCATCGCTTTCACTAAGAACTTCGACGTTTTCATCCACAACCCCAAAACATACGGAAACTTCGACTACAAGAACTTCATTACTGCTTACCTTGGTATCCCCCTGTACCTCATCATGATCTTTGGGTATAAGTTCGCGACCGGCTGCAAGGGCGTTGACCCCATGACAGCTGATCTCTTCACTGGCAAGGACGAGATTGATCGTGAGGAGGCGTTGTATCTCGCCAGAAAGGAGGCCGAGGCAGAGAAGAATAACGACGCAAGCTGGTTCTACCAGAAATTTGTCTCTTGGCTTTTCTGATGCGAGTTCTATGTCTAGATCTTGTTGTGGAAATTGAGCGCTATTTAGGTTGTCGTTTTCTACATCGACGGGCCGCTAATATCTTCCTTTACCTTTAGATATTGATATTTCAATTACGAGAAATGAATTTTTGGCCTATGATTATTTTGCCCTTGGTTCTAACAGAAAAAAAACCCATGAATGTAGCTTTCGACGGTTGAGAGATGCCACAGATCTGGCCACCTTTAGTGTCATAACTCTGGACTAACATTTGATATCCATTCTGTGGGCTAAGATGCGTAAGATTCCTGCTTGTCGGCTTCTTATTGAATATCAGATATGCGGTCCTAAAAAGATTAATAGTGGACCTAGTCTCTTAGTCTATAAACAAAGTGTCTACATACAGGTGCACTGGAAGATGTTCTGGATTACATTCTTTACATTCTTAGGCCTAAATAGCCAATACTGTACAAAGACCCTCCTGCAACACCAGAAGTACCGTAATTAAAGGACATTCGCTCGTAAATTCAACATGCAATCATCAAAAGAGGACAAGGCCTACAGACTCTCAGCTAGAGGTATCTGATCGCTCCTCAAGTTCTCAAAGCCGACATCCGATGCCTCCTCGCCCCAGAAAAACTTACCGAATGTCAACAGAGCATGGAAAATCTCCTTGCCCGTAGGAACAATGTGCTCCGAAGGCAAAAGGAATCCGTAACTACCGCGGTCGCGGAGTTTGATCTGGTATGAGAACTTCACGTGCAGCGTATGGTAGAACCAATCCAACGCGCTGCCACCCGAGGTAATCCCGTTAGTAAGAATCCCCTCGCACGCCGAGGTAACGTCATATGATTCATGGGAGGTCTGACGGATTGCCTTGGCGAGACCCAGCGCTAGCTCCTCGAGGGTCTCTAGGGTGGGAGGCACGGCAGAGCAAGAGTATGCGTAAGGGTATAGGATCTGCTGGGAATATGAGTGCAAGTCGACGAAGCCTACAATCTCAGCGCGACCATGCACTGTCTCGTTTTGGGCCCATTGCGCCAGGCGCTGCGATTCAATTGCTTCGAATGGCTCTGCGCCAGCGTAGTTCTCTGAACACGGGTTCGAGCGAGTGGACTCTCCGTCCCACTCGTAGTCCCAGGCGCGGTCTAGGTCGACACCCGGACACAATGGGAGACCTGTTGGCTGGCGGTTCTTGCGCCACAGACGGTCTGATTCCCATGAGTAGACGTATCCGTCGGGATTGAGGGTTGGGATTAAGACCCAGTCGTACTCGTGAAGCAACCGTGTTACTGCGGGTGAATAACCGTAATGGGTGATGAGACTGTATGCGACATATGTTACCGTGGAGGTACTGATCCATTCCCTGGCATGAGTACCGCCGACGATGACGATTGTCTTGCGGGGGCCCGATGTGTGTTCTGACATGCCGAGTCGCAATGCGGGGATATCGCGACCCTCGTAGCTGACTCCTACGCTGGTCATCTGTACGTGCGAGGAGAACATCGATGCCATCAAGCGCATCCATTGTGTGATGACGGAGAGCGGCTGGTATTCTTGGAAGAATAGGTCGCCGTTCGATATCGTCTTCAGTTCACCTGGTGCATTTCCTGATCTGAAGTCTGAGTGGGTACGGTGGCGGGAAGGGTAAGAGGCGTATATCTCATCGGCGAGGTTGTCGATGAGGGGAGTGTAGGAGGTGCGGAGTGTTAAAGGTAGTAGATCCAACAGGGAAGGGATCTAACGATATAATTAGTGACATGATCGTAGATCGTCTGAAAGAAAAGCGCACCATATCATCTGCAAGTCTAATATCTACGAATTTCGAGGTTATGGCCCAAATGTCCAAAAACAGCACCTGCGAGGCGGAAGCCAATGCTTCTCCCTCGTCCGGCTGGTGCAAATGAAAGCGGAGAACGACATCACTGCCATACCGATCATGAATATTTGACGGTGGTGAATGTTTTGAAGAGCAGCGGTTGTGATCAACATCCCATATCGAGCCAATTACCCAGTCGCGAAGTCGAGCCCATGGGCGTGGATTGGAATGAGTGAGGTGGGAAGGCAGCAGAGGTGGCGGTGGGGTGATGCTTGAACCAGCGGGGACGGCAGAGATAAGAGGGATCAAGGTCGATGCGACCAATATGGGAGAAAAAAGACGCATACCGAGTCACGATCACCGACTTTGAAGGGAGAGTTGGTGTTCTCAAGTCCAGACCTAAGGTTTCATAGGGATGTATCTGGTGAAATGCGGAGAAAAGAAAAAAGGGGGGAAAGCGTTCGGGGGAGATAACGGGAGATATCCAAAGTAACCCAATGTACTATCAAGTCAGTTAGTACTAAGTGAAATGAAACGCTAATAAGAGTTGGAGTATGTTGTAGAATGTTTAAAGCAAGAAATTAGATCCCATTGATATTCGGATATTAAAAAAAAAAAGGAAAAAAAAAAAAAAAATGACATGCAGCCTTTAGTTAATTTGTTCTACGTCAGTGGCCAGTCCTTTACTCCAACGGTATATACAACATAGTTATATACAACAATCATATAACGATCGGATTATTATTTGAAGAACTATTAATCTATCTGATCTGTACAATTTAAATAGAAGCTAACTACATTTAGTTCTTTAATATAATACATTCAAAATCCTTTTTAATCTCTATACATAAACCTGGTCAATTACCCGACGCTCAGACCTAGATTCTAACTTGTCTGCCTTGCCCCTCTAGCTTTTTTTTTTTTTTTCTTCTTCTTCGGTTTCTTCTATAATTTCTTATTTCTACATATCTATTTTGTGTGTGATCTAAAAATATAATATATATATAAAAAAAAAAAGGAGAGAAAAGGAAAATACGCGTGGCGGCAGAATCAAGAAATCTAGAACGTTTCCCTTTCCGGCGTTCCCCTTTTTGCGAGGGCTGACCTCCAGATCCCACCGCGTCTGGATCCACCTTGGGCAATGTCCTCTTCTATCTCAATTCACATCTGACCGTATTACATTTCATGGATCATTAGCTTGGGTTTGTCCTAACGCTCTGTCCTTCACCATGCATTGGAAAGGACTGCGTCTTGTGGCCGATGGCAAGAGGCAGAGCACCATAGAGCCTCAAGGCCAATCCCGTCGCAGTGAACACCTTCCTCGTCCCTACGCCCCCGCCGAACCTAGACTATCTGAGTCAATTCCTCGCTCATCCGGATTGCCAGAAGGAGTACATACAGGACTTCAGCCACCGGACGACAACGAATCAAACCATGCGGGGGCTCAGCCGGACTTCGCAGGACCATCCTCGGTCGACCGTCCCAGCTTACGCCACAAGCGATTCAGCTTTATGAGACTACGACATGCGTCGGACCCCCAATTATCCAAGTCCTACACCAAGGCAGGCCAGGATACTCCGCCGGTCCCTTCTTTACCTCGTAAGTGAAACATTGACAAATCCCCCCAATGCTTATTATAGTAGGATGGATTGGTTAACTGTGTCTGCCAAATCAAGCCCCCAAAATCATTACTACCGCCCCGACCAGTCACGAACTGGATCAACCCGTGAAACAGAGACCCAGGCTCAGCTTTCGACCACCGTCACGGAAACAGTCCATGGAGGAGATGTCTCGGAAATCAATGGAACAACCCGCGAAGCCTCGTAGAAGGGGCCAAGGATCAACCGACTCTCAGGTTACAGACCCAACGCTTGTCATGTCCCAGAGCATTACCGAAGAGCCTGGACGCTTGTCAACCAACTCACTTCGAGGCGGGACCCCGCACCCCAATGACTCTCAGCGCTCGTCGGTCATAGATCCCCGGTTTTCCGAATCCTCTCGATCAGACCGGAGCTACGGTGACCAGACAATCACCCGGAGTGTTTCCCCTCGTGATGGTCAAAGTGCCACTACCGCAAAGCGATTCCGTATGCCACGCCTGAAACGAACCCGCAGCCCTCTCTTTCCTTTACCCCCCAAAGTCTCGCAGCCGCCAGGAGGTGTGGATAATCGACCGAAGTTCCCCCGGTAGATACACCAAAATCCAAGACCTCAGACGGTCATGACCAAGTTTCACCGCTACCCTCGCCATCCCGTTCTACCGTAGGACTCGCCGCCTCGACTGCCTCGAGTGTACCGCCACTATTTCGAAATGATTCGACGAATTCCGCTCGCTCAGTTCGATCAAATCCCTCCTTCAAGAACAGAGGACGTTCGTCTACCATGGGTTCGCTGGCCGAGAACCAAGACGACTTGTCTATACCCCCGTATTTAGCATCTTCGGCGCGCACCTCCACTTCGACCAGTGGCCGCAAAAGTTTCGGTGATATGTTCAACATCACCCAGCGATTGCGGCAAAATTCGTCCCCACCTTCTCCTCGTCACGGTTCGCCCACGATAGGTGGCGCCTCCACTCCCGTCTTAAAGCAAGAGCTACCAGCAATCCCGAGGCGGGAAGAAAACGACACACCAGCTTCATATCTGACTCGTTTGGAAGAAACTCTGCCCCGTGGCATGATTGCGGGTGCTCTCGCTCAATCAGACGAGGAATTCTACAAGATTTGTCTCCGAAAATTCATGAGGACCTTCTCATACTTCGGGGACCCACTCGACATGGCAATCCGTAAGCTTTTGATGGAAGTCGAGCTACCGAAAGAAACACAACAGATTGATCGTTTCGTGCAAGCATTTGCTGACCGTTATCACGAATGCAACCCAGGCATCTTCACAGCCCCGGATAATGCATACTTTATTGCATTCTCGCTTTTGATTCTTCACACCGACGTCTTCAATAAGAACAACAAACGGAAGATGCAGAAGGCGGACTATGTCAAGATAAGTCGCAGTGAGGGAATCTCGGAGGACATTCTTGAGTGTTTCTATGAGAACATCCTATACACTCCGTTCATTCGTGTCGAAGACGCCAATCTGCCAGACCGTCACTTGGCGAAACCACGTCGCACGTTATTCAAAAGCACTAGCTCCGAAAATTTGGCCCGGATTGCACGGGAGCCTGTCGATCCTTATTCCCTTATTCTGGAAGGCAAATTGGGATCCCTGCGCCCCAGCTTGAAGGATGTCATGGATCTGGATGATACATACAATCATTTTGGAATCGCTGGGCCACCGGACATGGACGCTCTTCACCAGGCCTTCACCAAGTCTGGAATCTTGCAAATTATCTCTCTGCGCTCTCGCCCTGACGCATTCATGCCGGCTAGCTTGGATAGACCACAGGACTCGAATCCTGGCCTGGTAGATATCAAAGTTGCCAAAGTTGGCTTGCTTTGGCGGAAAGACCCGAAGAAGAAGAAGGCCAGGTCGCCCTGGCAGGAATGGGGTGCGATTCTCACATTCTCTCAGCTCTACTTCTTCCGCAATGTGAACTGGGTGCGCTCACTCATGGCACAGCATGAGGCATATGTCAAGAATGGCCGTCGGGGGACTCTTGTTTTCAATCCACCCCTTGCTGAATTCAAGCCGGACAACATCGTGTCTACCGGTGAGACAGTTGCCCTCTTAGACTCAAGTTATAAAAAGCATAAGCACGCCTTTATCTTTGTTCGACACAACGCATTGGAGGAGACATTCCTTGCTAGCTCTGAGTCTGAGATGAATGACTGGCTTGCGCACCTCAACTATGCTGCAGCCTTCAGGACCACTGGTGTGCGCACCAAGGGCATGATTGCCACAAATTATGAGGGACAACGATACCGCAAGAGTCAGCGATTAAGCTCAATATCTTCTCAAAGATCTCACCAGTCGACGGACATAGAGCCCCCTTCTCCAAGCATCGATACCGATATTGTTGCCGAGTTTGTTGCCGCGCGGCGACAATTGATGAGCCACAAGATTCGGGAGAGAAATGAAAAGCTCGCCGTAACACAAAAACAACTGGATGATCTTCTACAGAATGCTCGACACTTGCAAGTGCTCACTCCTCTTCATGCTCGGGCCCGCGAGAGCGTCATCATGGCTGCAGGCCGTCTGTCTGCCAAGATCAAATGGGTGAGACAGGATATCTGGCGCAGCAAATGTTACCGCCAGGTTCTCCTGCGAGACCTGGGAGAAGATGAAGAGGCAGTGGAAAGCAGGGTCGGGTCGGTTGCTGAACCGACGCCATCCCAGTCGGACGGAGCACGTTTGGGCTCTCTTTCCGGACCTTCCGTGACATCAGAGCCTAGCGTGGAAGGAGCCAGTAGTATTGTGCATACCGTCTCTAGCGCTGATACCGTTGAGCCTAATGTGGCCCAAGCCGAGCGGCCCTCGGAGGCTGGATTGCTGGCTAACCCTTCGAACGACGAACTGCGTCGTCCCAGCATCCCGGGATCTGCGACTTCCGCTGACATTGGTCGTATCGGTCGTCGACGCTCCGCCGTGACCATTCCTGAACGTGCCAAGTCTTACTCTCCCGATCCTACGACCATCAAACTCGAGCGTGAAGCCTCGGTCCTCAGTCGTGCCAGCCGGTGGGATGGGGCTAGTCTGGCATCTCGTACATCGAAACTGACATCGTCTGTGAGCTTCGATGACGGCGAGGAGCGCGTTTTAAGGGAAGCTGGTCTACTGGAGCTGCCAGCGTCCCCGTCGACACACAAAGATGAAGGCATGGCCCCCGACGCACTCCCTGGTAAAGACACCGAGGGTGAGACAAATGCAAATGATAAGAGCGATAGACCGAGTCGTGTCCGTCGTAGCCTTCATCGCACCCTCCGTGATTCGCATGCTCATAGGAACCACTCTCGTTCGAAGAAGAAACGGGCCTCAGTGTCTAGCATAGGGCAGGAGGAGGACGATCAGGTCTCCGGCGATGGAGAAGTCCTTCCTCGCAAAGCCCCCAGTTTCACCGTGCATGGCAAGAAAGCATCCGTCGTCACATTCGGGTCTGAATGGCAGAACATGCCCCCGGAAGAGCGCCTTAAGCTCCGCAAGCCCACCCCTCATGAAGAGCCACGGGCGTCGGATCCTGCTATATTGGACAGCAACGAGTCGATCATGACCGACCGCAGCCCGGAACGTGCTCACTCGATGCGCAGAACGAGCACCACTACTGGCCTAAGTGTGCGCACCAGCGACGATCTGACGGAATTCCAAGATGCGCAGGAAGAGCAACTGGAAGAGGACATCGGGTGCCCAGCTTCCCCAGTGATCACCTCACCCCCGACGCTAGGTGCAGATCCCCTAGACACAGAACATACTCCTCGCCCCCCTTCATCCACAATATACAGCCATCTTGCCGCACCAAGACACGACGGCTCCCCCTCCCCCTCCTCCACATCTATTAACGAGCGAATCGTTTCTACGCCGTCCAGCGAAAAACTACGCGAGCAGGCCGTAGGCGCTTGATTCTACGCCCATTTTCTTTCTTTACTTTCTTCTGTACATCCTAACCATTCTCATCTTGGTCTTCTGCTTGACGATTATTATACCCCTTTTTCTTCAAACTCATGCATCTCACTTTGTCTTTTCCTGTTAACTTTCCTTACTGCCCTTGCATTAACATCTGGTGGATCTCGGTTTCGTGGCGGGTTTTCGGTTCGGTCTGGGTTTTTGAGCATCTGTCTGCGTCCGGGTCTACGTTTGTGCGTCTGGGGGCTCTATTCATTTACTGTCAGATCGCTGAATCAGATGTGTATGACAGGCTGCATTCATGGGCATGCTTTGATACCTTTGATATCTTATGCCTTGGCCATTTCATTTCGATTATGCTTCTTTTCGAGTATGAGACTGTGAAATCACTGATAGACAAAAGCGAATTATGATTGACAATGATTTATTTGATACTTTTATTGCTCCCCGCAGTGTCTACACATCTAGATGTAAACAACCACACCTGAAGACTACTTATTGGAGTCAATGCTTGTTCACAATAGGAACGTGAGAATACAATCCCTTCAGACACGACGAGGGCTGATAAAAGCGGTGAGTAAAGCGGTAAACAAACACACCAATCCCAAGTCCCCACCATCCACCCGCGCCGCCAAACCCCCGACCAAAAACCCATTACGACATCCAGAAGCTACAAAAAGCCACCCTCACCCCCATCAACATCCACACCAACCACACCCAAATATGGCGCACTCAAAGCGCAACACCTCCCTCCCACACTTCACCTCCTACGAACGCGGTCTTCTACGCTCAACCTGGGGCACAAAACGCAGCGCAATCGGCCGCGACAGCTTCCTATCCTTCAGCTCCTGCCGTCTATGTCTGCAACCCGCGCGGGCCCCTGTAGTCGCATGCGCCAGCAACGGAGACCTCTTCTGCCGCGAATGCGCAATCAGTGACCTCCTCTCTCAGCGACAGGAGATCAAACGGCTTGAGAAAGAGCGTGATGAGGCGCGGAAACGCATTGCGGAGGACGAGGAGCGCTCGTTGGCGGAGATGAAGGAGAGGGATCTTAGGGATTTCGAACTTGTTTCTATGGGATTGGAGAATAAGGGTGGTGTTCCTGGTGTGAATGGGAAAAAGCGGAAGGCAGAGGAGGATGAGGCTATGGAGAAGTTTAAGGCTAGGGAGGTTGAGGTTGATGGGAAGAGGAAGAGGGTTTTTGAGCTTGGGGAGGAGGAGATGGCTCGTGTTGCTGGGGCGGAGAGGGAGAGGTTGAGGAGGGAGTTGAAGATTGAGAAGGTTTGTGGTTGTTCTTTGAGCTGGACTCCAGCTTCCAGCTTGAAGCTTGAAGTCTTCCATTTGGAGTGTGGGCTGAACTAACAACTTGGCTCTAGTCTAATGGCAAATCTGCTCTTCCGTCCTTCTGGGTCCCGAGTTTAACGCCCAATACGGATGCGAATGAAGTCGCCGCCAACAAGACCGTCAAGTTGACGCCTGTTTGTCCTGGCTCGACGGATGAGAGTCGGCATAGCTACTCGCTCAAGTCGCTTGTTGATGTTAATTTCACAGAGGAGAAGGCTTCCGACGGGACTGTATCTAGGGTGTGTCCGAGTTGCAAGAAGAATTTGAGTAATGGGCTCAAGGCGATGCGTAAGTGGAATGCAACTTGCTACGGCCATTGGGTCTTGCTAATCATATGTTACAGTCACAAAGCCCTGCGGACATGTCATTTGCTCTCCTTGCGTAACGAAATTCATGACGCCCCACGAACACCACGTCCCCGATCCACATGCCTCGAAGGAGGAGCAGGAGAAGACAGCTGCTCTCCATGGCCAGGTTCTATGTTTCGTCTGTGAGACAGATCTCACGGCAAAATCAAAACCAGACGACAGTGGCAATGGCAATGGGAATAGCAAGAAGTCTAAGAAGAAGGATAAGGATGCTATTCAGCCTGGTATGGTGGAGATCTCCTCCGAGGGCACTGGGTTTGCCAGCAAAGGTGGGAATATGGGGAAGAAGACCGGAGTTGCCTTCCAATGCTGAGCAACTATGTAATAACAAACGTGAAAGAAACATGAAACACCACGGGTTTCGATTATGTGTACGATAAAAAAAAAAAAGAATATCCTGATATTGCCGCCCGGAGCGGTTATTAACGCCCGAACCATGCAAATATAATGTTTCTAGATATACAGTGAAGTCACCCGAGAAGTCAACAGGCGAACCTGGTCTCTCTCCTCTCCCACCTGCAACCTCAATCTCAAGAACGCTTCTTGGCATTGTTGAACTCGCGCACAGTGATGGAGCAAGCCACCTCCTGACACAAGCGACGACGACGACCGAGATCCAACTTCGAGCCGAACTCCAAACCAGAAGCACGCTCAACAGCCTCAAGAGGAACCTCGAAGTCAGTGAGACGCTTATCATTCGCAATGCGAGCATTGGGCAGGACAAAAGCACCGAGGGCAACCTTGCTGGTAGGCGAGTTGGTACCATCCTCAGCATAGATCACCTTATAGAAGTGCGTAGGCACAGCGACGTTAGGCGGGTTACCAATGACCTCATAGTTCACGCGCCACTTTCCATCCGGGTCCCGGTGCGGCAGGTACAGGGGTCCCGTAACAATGCGAACGGAGGGATAACGCTTAGCGAGATCACGGCAGAAAGTCTCAAAGTGCGCCCAGTAGTCACGGTTGAAGCCCTCGCCGACCTGCGGACACATATTGCTTAGTGCGAATGTGCCGTCCATCGCATCCTGTGACCACTTCGCGTCTGCGGCCGGCACCTGGTGTCCGCGGTCATAGCCCGAGCGGAAATAGTCGGACAGTTTGGCGCGGAACATCGCCGGGATGGTCGTGTCCTCGAAGAATGTGCTCTTCTTTCGGTCGGCGTTGTTCATGGCTAGGGATTCCGGGGTGATATGTTCGGCGACCCAGGATGCGTTGCGGGTGCGTCGATCATAAGCGCCGTGCAGTGGGAGCGAGTTGAGCTCGTCGGCGATTGGGCCCGGGAAGCCATATTGGAGGATTCCGGCTGCGTCGACCGGACCAGTAGATAGCTTGGATGCTAGAGCTGGGGACGGGATGGTTGAGGGCACCTTAGAGCCTGGGATTGTCGGTGTCGGGGTGAGAGTTTCTTGTTGTTGGGGCCTGGAGGATTTGCCGGAGAAGAGCAGCGCGGTGACACCAGCACCGGTGGCTGCACTGGCAGCAGCGATGACGGCCAAAGTTGCTTTGGACATGGCTGAATGTCCCTTGGATTGACCTTAGGTAGGGCTGAGGGTGTAAAGTCGAAAGAGCCAACCGAACTGCAAAGACAACAAAATCGATGGGGTGTGTCACGGGCCAATCACATCACATGCACCCGACTGCTGTTGCAAGGTTGTTCTGCATGGGGGCTGTCTTGTTTATATATTCTCCTTTGAGCCTCTTAATTAGTATGGATTCTTATGATCTCTTGACTCCGATGAGTCCAAAATTATCCAAAAGTCACCAGATACTGTCAGTTGCATACATAAACCCCTTGCATGTGTGCACCGGTGTCTTCATCATATGAGAAAGCGTCAAGTATCACCCGATCGGTTGCAATGAAACAGTATTTATGAACATCCAGAGATTGGATCCTTTTCTTCTATATCCTATAATCCCAGAGAATCTCATATTAGAGATTCACGATACCAGACAACCAGACCATCTATTCAACATCCCAGATGCCAATCATGAGGTGCACGAGGTGCAAAAGTGCAGTGAGAACCTTGGGGGTGAATGCACTGTCCTCAGACAATGCACCTGATTCACTTATAAATCCCCATCCATGAACATAGTCATGTCTTCATTTCTTGTATAGAAAGGAGAGAGAGAGGCAAAGTGTTTGACCGCCAACCCCGTTGATTGTCAGTTACATCACCGTTTTCCATTTTCTTCAACTCCCCACGCCATGTCTGCCAACGACCTCCGGGGGGTGGGTGATGAGCGCTGTCTCAGGCATTGGTGAGTGTTGCCTAGAATATTGGAAAACTTCATCACACTAATTGTATTTTAGCATGCGTCCTTGGTTCCTCCATCATCTGCGTCGATGTGTTAGTGCGGGTGCTTTCCCGTCGCAAGAGCTTCCAGATAGCCAACAGTAGTAACTTCCTGTCGGCATCATTATGTCTCAGTGCTGGAGTTATGGTGAGCTATCATTCTAGCGCTGGAATCAATGAATTATACTAATTCAAAGTAGCTCTTTACCTCCCTTTATAGCATGCTGCCCACCTCAAAGCAATACCTCACCCGCGCCGGCTTCTCCCCCGCTATAGCTGCATATATTTTGATCGGCCTGTTCATAACTGGAGTTGCAGGCATCCAAATAATATCTGCATTTGCACACCGATTTATTCCATCTCATGTCGTCGACTGTGCCCATACCCATGAGGAGTCGGAACCTGATCCCGAGCACGGCGAGCAGCCCGCACATGAGGACCATGTCCACAGCCATACAGACGGACATGATGAACGAACACCGCTGTTGCAGCCTAATAAGCCATCTTCATTCAAATCAACGCCAGCGGTGGTACAACGGAGCCAACATACTGAGCCGGCACCCAGACATCGTGAGACCATGCGGGCAATGCTAGCGCGTCACATTACTTCGCTCATGGGTGGCGTAAAATCTAACTGCGATAAAGATGGGCCTTGTTTTGGGATTTCTCAAACCTGCGGCCAAGAATGCATCAAAGTGCTTCCGCCATCCAACAGCAATGAAACCGTGCGATCGGACCCGCTGCATCGTGGAAGCATATCCGTGCCGCTGGAACCGGAAATTCAGCGCGCAGAAACTGACCTTAGTGATGAACATACACCTATTGCACAGGAAGGGGGATATTTTGACAACATCTCCGCACACCACCATATGCACCCATGTGCTTCTTCGTCCGCTTCATCTCAGATCATAAAACCACTTTCAAGTGATTCATCCCATTCACACTCGGAGCATCATCCGCATTCGGAGCATCATGGTCATCTCGAGGAAATTGATTCTGAGCGTCCCAAATCTGCCGGTGGCAACCCCCACCACCATCACGTCCCTAAAAATGCATTCCTCTCCATTGGACTCCAGACCTCACTCGCCATTGCTTTACATAAGCTTCCCGAGGGGTTCATTACTTACGCCACCAACCATGCCAGTCCAACCCTCGGTATGACAGTATTCCTAGCTCTATTTATCCACAACATTGTGGAAGGCTTCGCTATGGCACTTCCGCTCTACCTAGCCCTTGGTTCCCGCTGGAAGGCAATGTTCTGGTCCAGTCTTCTAGGAGGTATTAGTCAACCAGCCGGTGCTGGCATAGCTGCACTTTGGATTTGGAGCACCGGGCAACACGGTAGCGACGATGCCACAGGCCCCTCGTGGGGTATCTATGGAGGTATGTTCGCCGCCACCGCCGGAGTCATGACTTCAGTTGCATTGCAACTTTTCAGCGAGGGACTTGCTCTCACCCATCACCGCGGAATGGGAATTGGGTTCGCTGTTGCAGGTATGGGTTTGATGGGCCTCAGTTTTGCATTGACTGCTTGACCAGGGTTCGGTCCTGGTGATCATTTTCATGCGCCTGGCGTTTGACCCTTTGTGATCCTTGCGGCTGGCATGCATAAGCGCACATATTGGGATTTTGCTTATCACTACATTCATTCAACATGGCCACGGTGTGGTCCTGCACAAACGGGCAATGGTAAGTGCATATTTTGACAATATATGTATTTCTCATCAACAAAACTGCTACGGGTGTCGAATCACCGATGTGGTGGAAGCACAATTGCCTAGCACAATTGGATACTCTATGTACATTCTTCGTGCAGATAATGCATTATATTAGATTTTGAGATATCATCTCTCCAATTCACAAAGTAGTTGATCACATTATAAGCTGGTTCTACATGTACATTGTCCCAACTGGAGACCGTATAAGTGACCATTCACACATCGTTGCCAATAGATCGTGTCATTAAACTTCGGTATGGACAAGGTATACAATTTGGTCCTGCAAATATTTCAAAACATCCAAAAACGCCAACATAAACTCAATAAATCCAAATATTAGATATACCTTGCAAATTACCCAGTATATACTTAGAGAGCCTGCACCGAGATGCGTCTCTGGGTACCGCCACCACCCAACCCAGCACCACTACTCTCACGTAGATGATTGCGGTGCATCTGACCTTCCTCCTCCATATCCTCAACATCAATACTAAACCGTCTAGGCTTAGACCAAACACCAAATTGATCACCGCCATTAGCCTCTCCAACATTCTTAATCTGCTCAGACTGCACACCAAAGCGATCCGCAACCGACTGGAACAGCTCCGCATGCGCCGAAGCCCGACGCGAAGTCTGACCCGATCCCAAACGAGCCTGGGAACGACGCAGCAGCTCCATATGCTGCAACGCGGTATCAGCCGCATTGGCATGGCCCTGCGCCCCGGAGTCACCGAGCAGATCGTACAGCACTCCTTCGTGCAGAGTCGCCGCGGACTGGTGGTTCTCAGATGCTGTGAACAGCGCCGAGAGAAGCTTGGTCATGTCCAGTGTGACTGGGTCACAGCTGCCCCATACCTGGCGCAGGTTGTAGCAGATGGCGCGGCAGAGCTGGATGGCGGAGTCGACATCGCCGCGGCAGAAGCGGGTTTCCACTAGTCGTCGGCCGATCCAGACGACTACGTCTGGTGTCCAGGTGCGCTGGACAATTCGGGAGGTCCAGAGTTGGGTGAGGATTTCTTCGAGATTGTCGAACATCTCGTACTGGCCCAGAAGGGTGATGACGTCGTTGAGGTGGTTGAAGGGTAGGTCGACCATCTCGATACCCATGGACTTCGAGGTTGTCATGACGTCTTCCAGGAGAAGCTTGGACTTGATGGACATGTCTTTGTAGGTCTTTTCGTCGGTGCACTTGGTTGCTTTGTGGCCGCTCAGGTACAGACAGAGCCGGGTGGCGGTATTGATGCTCTCCTGGCTGTTCAGACCGTCGGTCAGATGCAGGAAGGAGTGCAAAACGCCTGTTAGGATGGTAGCTTCCTGGAAGCGGGTGGAGTTGCACAAGTCACGGACGAGGTTGGTGGTCGTTGTGAAGATGTTCATGTTGTAGTTTTCTCCGTGGACCTCACGCAGACAGATCTGGTAGAACTGCTGCACGACTTCCTTGTCGGCGACCTTGGTGGCGGACAGGTTGGAGCAGAAGTACTCATACAGCTTGTCTTTGGTGTCGTTGGCAGGGCGAACTCGCTTCTGGTTAATCTGGAGATTGTATAGCTGGTGACCAGCGATCAGAGTGGGAACGAAGTCGTGACCAGAGAGGCTCTTGGAGAAGGCCCGAGAATTCCTCATCTCACGACTCATCTCGCTCATGATCTGGTCGTAGCTCGCTCGTCTGCCGAAGACTTCCTCGAAGGCAGCGACGAACACGGCATCGTGACGATCCCGAAGATCCACGGAGGAAGCTTCGGAGTTGTAAACCACGCGTTGGCGGAGTTCGTCGAGGAGGTTGTTGCCACCCTCGATGAAATCGCACTCGAGGTAGATACTTGCGATCCGACGGGCCCAGTCAGCCATTGTATCAGTGTCACCGTCGGCATGTAAAACATCGGTGGAATAGGCGTGGATAATGGCATTGCCCTGCTGAACAGAAGAAGAGGTTCCCTGTCGCGAATGGGCGAGGGCAAGTTCACGGAGCCACGAGAGAGTCGTGGTGGAGAAGTAGCCCTGGTTTTTCTTGGCCAGCTGGAACTCTTCGGTATAGAGAGAACGGGCTTCAACAGTCGAATCATGCTTGCGCACGAACAGCTGTGCCAACTTGTGTTTGAGGGTGATAGGCAGCGGTGTAGTCATCTGGTCGAGACCCTTCGAGGACTGAGAAGGAGCCACCCAATCGCTGGTTTCCAGAGGCAACTTGTACAGCGAGATGGCCTGGTCAACGTGTGCATCGCTGGACTCACACAGCTCGGCAAAGAGCAAGGTAGCATTGAGCGTCTTCTCACTTGTTGCGCCGTGCACGTGGCGACAGGTCATGACATACTCAGACGCAACCCGGTACCGCTCGGAGAAGTCAGAGCTCTTGTGAGTAGTGAGAATAGCCATGTAGCCCAGGTAAGTCTTCTCCAGCATCTTGTCCACCAGATCATGATCATAGGCCTCCACCTTGTTGTCTTCAACAACCAGGGTCGGCCAGAGATACCGGTAAACATTCAAAGCAGAATCCCACTGTCCCTCCTTCTCGTAGAGCTTGATGAGGGAAATTGCAGCGTCCATGCCCTCTGGGGCAATTGCGTTCGTGCGGGAAGTAGCCTTGAAGATACGCTGGTAGATGCTCTTAGCCTCAGTGTTCATCTCCAGACGAGTTGCCAAAGCAGCCTCAAGATACATGTTCTCGATGGTGTGCTCGTGGGTCTCTCCGAGACGACCGGCCAAGAAGTTGCTCATGGTATGGAGCAAATTCAACGCCTTGGTGAACTGGTAGGTAGTCTCGTGGAACTCGACAACAGCCTTGGCAACGGCAAGCACCGACGGCACAGGGGCTTTGTCGGAGGCGACCAAAGAACCAAAGGCGTTCTCATAAACAGTTGTAGCCTGTTCCAGATGCAGCCTGCGGAAGTGACAATAAGCCAACACCAAAGCCAGGTCTGCCGCGGGAGGTGCCAGCTCGTGCGAGAACTTCTGGTGAGATTTAGCCTGTTCGACGGTGGGCCAGATATGCTGCAGAACCGCCATCGAGCATTCGCTGGCTTGGATCCACTCTGCCTCACGCACGTAAATACTGGCAAGGTTGTGGCACAAGACCAGGGTGGTGACAGTCATGTTATCAGGACTGGCCGAGATAACATCCAGCAGCTCGATCAGCAGCTTGCGGTCCCGAGAAGACAGAGAGGATGCATCCTGAATAGAGACTGCATTTGCCATGCTCTGGGCAATTGAGAGCGCTAGAGCGGTTGACTCCTCCGAGTACTCTTGGTGAGTCTCCTTGTAGTAGCGCCACATGAGAATTGACAAGGAGCGATCGAGATTGTACATAAGCATCTCCCGAGTCTCGGCGCGGAGAAGGTGTACGCGCTGCATCATTTCCTCGGAGTGAATACCAGTGACCTCAAGATCTGCAACTAGTTCACGGATGATGACCTCAGATTCATCACTTCGGCCCTGACGGCGGAGGAACTGGTAATACACAAGGGCGACATTGGACTTCTTGTCCATCATATCAACCGAGTCAATATCGCGCGAGTTGAGACCAGCCCACAGGCTTGAAAGGACAGCCTGGGCATGAGCCAAATCACCCTGATCCTCGTACAACTTAGCCATGTGCAGAGTGTAGGCGATTCGGCGGTCGTCGGTGACCTCCATGGTGCGCACCATATTGTCATACTTGGTTCTGGCAATATCGCGGCTCATCTCGTCGCTTCCAGTTGTCGAGAAGTGACTGGTCAAGAAGTCGGCAGTATCGGATGACTGGCGCGAGTTGGTACCGTATTTCTGAAGAATCTGCTGGTAGAAGTGCTTCGAGATGAACAACGCGGATTGATTGTCGTTGCGAGACTTGTACATGCTGACGATCATTCCAAGGTACTTGAGGCGTTGGTTGAATTCCACCCCGGTGATCTCGGAGTCGGTCAAGATCAAGTACTTCATGATGTCTTCCTGCTGAGAGGTGATCGTGCCTCGATCGGAGAATGACTGTATCATCATCTCGGAGCATGTGAGGGTAATCTGGTGCGACTGGCCGAGAAGCTCCTGGCTGAGCTTCCACGCCTCGTAGCAGGTCTCATCAGCGTGGCTAGCATGAGCCAACTTGGACACGCGTGCGCTGAGTACCAAGCTTTCTAGCAGAGCGATGGACTTCTCACCAAGGACCAATCGGCGAATATCACTCGCAAGTCTGTAGAGCTCCACGACACTAGACCGAGTGAACTGGGACTCACGGCAAGTCAATTCGAGGCGCGCGAAAAGAACGGTGGCAGGCATGAGCTTCTTGAAGCTTGAATTGAATTGGAACTCTTCGTCATCGTTGACCAGGGGCGAAGAGAGAAGGTGTGACAACCAGTAGCGTGCGGTGTATTCCAAGGCAACATACTTGTCGAACAGGTGGTTGCGCTCCTCGATGCCTAGCTTGTCCATCGAAACATCAACCTCCTCACGCACACCTAACTGCACGCAGGAAAGACACCTGGTGAGCAAGTCGTAGTGTGCATCCTTGAGGCTGAGCTGAGACTGTCCACCGGATGATTTGGCCTGGTTGATGATGTGGTCGCGAATGCAGGTATGAGCGAAAGAGACCACGCCATCACGGGTCATGATCAGCGGGCTCAGAGCATTCAAGGCGTCGTAGCTACTACTGGGTTTATTGGATGAGTAGCTGGGGCCCTTTGTGTCCACATTCAGCAAATGCTCAATCTCTTCGACCAGTAGTGGTCTCTCTGCTGCTGCGAGCCAGGAAACAATATTGACAGTACCCTGCTGGCTAAAGTCGAGGGTATCGAAGTGGAAGTCGATAAGTTCTGACATCGACTGGGGCAAAGCCTGAATGGACGCAACAGCCTGACTCAAGGTCTTTTGCTGTTTAGCATGTGCAACTGCCATTTCAGCCCAACTGAAAGAGCCCTGAGAGCGGGCCACAATGGCAGACACAGCGGCTTGAAGCTGGTTGCCCTTGTGGGTGTCAAAGTTGGCGGTAGATGCAAGCATCTTGTTGACATACGCCACAAGGTCTGTCTTTGTCTGTGAGGTCTGCAGGGTAAACTGCTGAACGCCCTTGGAGCTGGTCTTCAAGCTCAGGGGCCGGGTGAAAGCGATCATCTTAGATCCAGCATTCTGCTCGGAGAGAATCTCCGCGAAGCGATTGAGGCAGGCAATGGCATTGGTATGGCCGCCCCTGATCTGGTCGATGCCGTCAACCACAAACATGTACTGGATGTTCGTAGCAAGACCAGCACGAACACCTCTCCAAAGGCTTGCTTCAACTTCGTCATCTCCAGCACCGTCGATCGCTCCTTGGGCGGCACTGGCGACTTCAACCAGGATAGCCTCCTGGGTCTGCTTGTCACTGACAGAGTGGTCCAACATTTGGTGAAGGACGCCCTTCAAAATACGGAGAGGCAAAGTAGCGACAGGAATATCAGCACCTTTACTAGGTTAGCTCGCAATTCAGCAAATATAAAAATAGGCAAACTCACGGATGGTGTACGGGATAACATTCCAGCTATCGTGTTCAGACGACTCCTGTAGTCTTTCGACTGTCCATTGAGCTAGTGCACTCTTTCCCGAGCCAGGGCCACCAGAAATCAGCATCATGGGGGAGCTCGCGAGACTGAAATCGTATAGCGTGTTGTTGAACCACTCAAACGACCCCTCAGCAAGCGAATGGGCGCGAGAGTCGAGGATAAACTGGAGAGGGCGGTCCTGCACTCCCAGGAATTGACGCAAGCTACCCAGCTCAGGTGAGGAGTAAATCAGGGCGCTGTCCTGAACGAGCTTCGCAGTGTGAGCATCGACAACACAATTCCAGTGGGTAGAAAAGCGCTTGGCGTAAGTGACAAAAGCGGCATCAACATTGCGTCCGATAATTTGATCGGACTCTTTGCTCTTGAATCCCTCAACACAGCTCATGGCCGTGCTGCTGACCATCTCAAGCAAATCTGCGAAGACCGCGGCAACATATGGCTGGAGTTCAGGAGAGGATTTGTACGCGGTCTCGTACTGCAGAAGCAAGTAGATACCGACGGCGACCCGGCCATATCGGCCAAAGACACTCTCAAAGACATCTGTGTTGTCCATGTCAGACTATACAACTAGTTAGTATTCATATCCAAAAACTTTCACGAGCCACTTTAACTCACCTCCAAGAGGAGGATGGAGAATCCCCAGATGAGCGTTGCCGCCTCATTGGCAGCAGGCGCGAAGACTCCAACGGACTCCCGAAGAGCGTCGACAGCATATGCCAGTCTAGACGCCCATCTGAGGCTGCAGTCAAGTCTGCTACCATCATGGGGCATCCAGCGGAGACGTTCAGATGCAACAGCATCAAAGAAAGCATCAACGTTAGGGCTGCGCTTGCTGATCTGACTGGCAGACAGGCCCAGCTGAGTCTTGCACTTCTGGGACACGGCCTGAACCTTCTCCTGGAGGAGAGTGACCTTGTAGCCACTGCCACTCAGCTGTCTGGCAATGCGCTTCGAGGTCATTTCATTTCCGGTGCTACTCTTGGTACCGGAGCTAGCTTGGGTGGTTCCATTGTTGAAGCCGTCAGTGCTAGAGGTACCATAGACACCACCCTGGCGAGTTCCTGCTCCACCAACAATGCCTTGGTTGACTCCGCTGTTGTCATTGCCGGATAGGCCATAGCTATTGTCTTGTTGAAGTCCCAGAATACCTCCGCCGGCGATGCCTGTTTGGTTTGATCCAGTGGCGCCGTTATTGAACAGAGCGCTGTTTGTCTGGCCCGTGGTGGTAGAACGTAGGCCACTTGTTTGGTTGGATCCACTGGTGGTAGAATACCCTGTGCTTGTCGGGGTCTTAGGAGTGAAGCCTCGATCGGACACCACACGGGCATAAGAAACACCTCCCCTGTTCGCCTGGTTTGAGGCGGTCAATCCTTGTCCACTTCCACCATGGCCATGTTCTCCTGCGGTGGAAGCAACCTGATCATTTGATCTTGTGAAAGTAAGATCTTGGGCCCTGGCTGCGTCGTTCCCAGAGACGGAATGTGCCTTGCTCCGCTTTCTGGTGGTAGGGGTCTGGCTGGTGGCTCCTTTACTCGTACCATAGCCGGCAGCGGCGGCAGCGGCGGCAGCAGCTTCACCTGCCCCGGCTTTCTGGGAAGGCTGAGAGCCCTGCTTGTCAAGTTGCTTTCTGTCGATATGGTATTTTCCAACGTCTTGACCGGCAGATTTCTTGGAGAGGTCCTTGCCGGTGGCCCCCTCGCTGAAGACCTCCGGACTGATGTTCTCATAGTCGTGGATCTCTTTTTCAAGAGCTTCCTCGCTATAATCTCCTCCAGTGACGGCTTTTCCAGCATTTCCTTGGTTTGAGCTGGCCGTGTCGCCGCTTCCTACCCCCGCGAAGGCAACCTGAGGTTCATTGTCGGTTGCTTGGCTGGGTATTCCTTTGCTGCTGGTCCCTCTCTGAACAAGAGTTTCTGTGCCGGTCGAATTGTGGTAGTTCTTTTCTTGGAAAGTTCCCGGCATGGTGATGGGGCCCCTCCGGATGTCGTAATTGGGCTCAAGCTCTCCAGCTAAGACGCTGCCTTTGCGGTCATACTGTGTAGAGCCAGTGTCTTGATTCGCTTTAGTGCTGTCTTGCTGTTTCTGACTGGCTTGTGGCTTCTGGGTGGCTTGTGGCTTCTGGGTGGCTTGTGGCTTCTGGCTGCCCATATCTCGTTGCTCCACCTTCGTTTCATCAGTAGAGGTGCCGGTGTTGTCTTGGCCAATACCTCTGTTGATTTTCTTTCCAGTCTCCTGAACATTCTCCTTGTTGAGGTCGCCTTTGTTCATTCCAGCAACACTACTAGATGCTCCTCCGGCGACTCCCCCGACAGCAGCCCCTCCGGCAACTCCCCCGGCAACTCCTTGGCCAGTCGATTCTTTAGCGGGCTGGCCTTGGACAACTTCCTTGGCGCCATCGAAATTGCCTTTGCTGGCTTCATCGCGGGCGGATGAGCCTTTATCAAGGTTCTCATTCGCTTTCCCTCCCTGGCTGGTCGATTCTTGGGTGTTTTGCCCTTTAGTCACGATGTCTTTCGCGTCATTGTAATTGCCCTGGCTGACTTCATCGCGGATGGATGAGCTCTTCTCGAGGATCCCCTTAGCCTTGGAGAACATGTTGATGGGTGGTAAATTGAATATTAACAATAGATGTATTAACAGTAGGTGGATCGTAAAGATAAAAATTATTCGAATAGTCTCATTCAGTCGTGTGTTTAGCTTTCCAAAGTAGAAGATGAAATACAAAAAGGAAACCGATTCAGAATTGGGGCCCCGGGGGTACCTAAATAATATTAGGAACTATATTTCTCCTCATTGCATTGCATCATGGAGTAATTTCGGTGGTCTCTGAACTGGAGCAAGCACAAGTGAGCACATAGGGTAATGCTCGATATTCAGCTCAGCCATCCCCATGGTCTTTTTGCTTTGATTCTAAGGCTCGCAGCCCGATCCAAGAAAATAATGGGAAGCTCGATGTCATGGTACAACATAATATCAGAAGTCAATGATGCTCAACCAGAGATAGGGAGTGGGATAAGTGGATCGCCCAGCAGTTGGTGTCTACTCCAGGTTTTCACGCTTATATCCAATGTTCTTTTATTCTTCAGTTAATGTGATGGAGTATGATAGCCTGCAACCTTTGATTCTTTTGCATTTTCTGGTCCAACTATCACGTAGACCCTTCATTGGATTGTGCCCTGCAGTATCACAATATGTAAAAATCAATTCCAACCCGGTCAAAGAACTCGGAATTGAGTTCAATCGATGTCATTGCAATGTGTGGGGTAGAGACCAGGAGTTTGGGATAATCGAGTCCGATTAAACTCAATCGCCTCCTAGTCGATACGTTTCTCCACTGTCTGACGATTAGACATACCTGGATATCCGCTCATTGTGTCCCATCTTTAGCTCAGGTGGATGTGGAGGTCAGGATTGAAGTTGGCTACTGGCCAATATCCCCCCTTAGTCATCTTGTCGGGGCCCCCGATAACCTTAAATTCAGCCGTCGATCCGTGGACGTCTCGGCACTGGGACGTTCAATCATGTTTGTTAAACATACCTAACTAGGTATGTTCACAAAGTCATGATATCCGGAGGTCCCGGGATTGAATTGGTGAGGTCATGTTTCCTTGTCGTTCAGATTATTATCCACGACATCGGGAACTTCCGTCATTTATGTCATGACGTCGAGCTCATCTCTTACTTCTCAGTCTACATGGGCCTGTCCCTGTCATTAGTTAGGAGGTGCTAAGGTACAATGTGAACCAATACATCACGTGGGAGGTGATAAGAGGATTTGCGTGGATGTGTGTCTAGAAGATGGGTCGAAAGGGGCTTTTTTCCCCTTCGGTCCCATGAAATTCTTCTGTTATAGTTACATGGTAGGCACTACTCTTATACATGGAAAAGACGTCTTCCCCGACTTGCAGCCAGTTATCTCCCTCCGTCCCTTCGCTATAACATGGGAGGGGAAAAGAGTCACCTACGAGGACACCCAAAAAAGACATTGTAGTACATAGTATCAACATAAATATAACACCCCTGACATCATCTTAAGCCAAATAGATCAAGTTATTGTGATCCCCCGTCGTCAAAATAAGAGGCCGACTATTCTTGTGGGTAATATAAAAGAGACAAAGGCTCCATCTTCAACGTTCTCTTGAATCAAGCTAAAGCGGAAAGACTCGCCAATATCTATTCCCCGCACTCTCCATGACGCGGGGCCCCGTGATGCGACACAAAAGGTTGGGAAGATGAGGACTTGGACTATACTGGTGACCTCTGACGGGTGGGTTGGGGGGTGGGGCAAGCGGTTTGGAGTATACTTCAATTTACTGTCACTGCGGGAATCGTGCTCCATTGTTGTCGTTCGGAGGTCAATAGAACAAACCGCGTAACAAACCACATAGGGCTGAGTGGCATTCTACAACTCCAGTATCAGCCCTGCAGAGGCATACAACTGAATAAAAAGAGCAATCCCTATAGCTCTAGGCACTTTCTCAAGTAAAGATAACCCGAAAAGCATGGGAAAAGAGGCAGAGTCCATCTCTGGATCGGAAATGCAATTCATGAAACAGCCTATGAAATGAGTCGAAAAGTGACTCTGGAGTCTAGCTTGCGAGGACTGCCCGTAGACAACTCACATCCAGCCACAGCTTTCCATCCTCAGACCGCCATGGGTATTCATCCATTTCCGCGAATCAACCTCCCAAAAAAAACCCATTGCCAGCAAAAAAAAAATTCAAGTGAAGACGAAGAAGCGTGATATCATCCGTACAAGTACCAGCCGTATCTGGTGTGCTTTCGTTCGTTTGGGCCGTGGTCGTGCCGTGGTCATGCGAAGATTTTCATCGTAGAACTCGACTAGCCGATCGCGGCTCAGGTGGTTGTTTTAACGACTTGAATAATCTATTGGCCGGGGTTGGGGTTCATCTGCATTTCGCGACTGGTCAGCCTTTCTGTCCTTCATTTTCGAAATTCGTTGGTGTGTGGTCGTGGATATTTCGCGAAGTGTGCGTTGTGTTTGATTGTGCGTTGTGGGTGGGTGAGTCATTCGATATGTACCTTGCGCTTGCCACCGGTCATGGTAACGTTGACGAAACGGCGAGTGTAAAGAATACGCTTGTAGGCGCGACCCTTGGGGTTCTTCTTCTTCTCCTGGGGCTCGACCTGGATGCAAAATTGTCGTTAAAAAGACCGGTCGGGTGGATGGCCACTGCGAATCGTGTATCGAGTGGCGTTGGCTGGAAATCGAAGAGAACTCACCTTAGGAGTGGCAGCCTTGACCTTACCGGCACGGGCGAGAGAGCCGTGAACCTTACCCATGTTGGATGATTGACGTTGATGAACGGGAGATGGAAGTGGTTTGGTGATGAAGCGATTCTTGAATCTCGATTGGGAGTGCAAAATTGGGAGTGCGACCTGTGTGGGGCGGCTTAGCGAGTGCTTTCGGTCCGGATTAACTCAGCCCGTTTGGGGTCATGTGATGTGAGGTAAGTCGGTTAGGTAAGCCGGGGATAATGGGTCTTGGCAATGGTTTCTCCGAAGTGTATAGTTAGTGATATAGAACTTACCGAGTGTTACCGTAGTAGGAATTGGGTAGATAGAAAAGAAGGAAAATGGGGAGGGGGCAAGCAGTTGTTACATATTTATGTTCCCTACCGGACTTTATGGACTTTACGCAGCTCTTACTCTGGGACCTTCAAAGATTCGTCTATAGCAAATAGCCTTATGACTCAAAAGTCGGGGTCTCTTTTTGGTATCACGAGTATTGTACATGTTTCTCCCCCAGCGCTATGCAAGATTAGGTACCCCAAAATTCCACGGATGCAATAGATCCAATCCACCTTTTGGCATACATTTAGGCCCCCTTCGATTTCTCCTTGGCAGCAGCCTCTTCTCGTTCTCTCTTTCTTGCCAGATACCGCTCTTTGGCGCTGGACACATCTTTCTCGGTCTTGCGGTTGCGACTCTTTTCGGCAATCTCCTTTTGCTTTGCAGCCTCGGCCTCCTCCTCTTGTCGTGCGCGCTCCTCGTATTGGCTTGCGACCATGTCGGTCTGTCGAGCCCGTTGGGCACCACGGGCACCCTGGTAACCAGCACCGGCACCTGGTCGTACGGTAGTAGGCCGTGGGGCTCCTGCTTTCGCCGTAGATACTTGAGCTTTCGGTTTCGGTGCCACATTCAGTCCTGCAGACAACAACTGGCGCTTGTCAACAACTTGGCCCTCATCATTGACAACAACCCGAGCTCCATGAGCATTGAGGTCCTCCGCCTTCTGAGCGTCCGTCTTATCCTCTTTATCCTCCGTCTCCTCGATGATCTCGCCTGCTTTGATACGGCGGGCAGTCTCTTCTGCAGCCTTCACGACCTCCTCGTGCTGTGCCTCTTCTCGCGACAGAACGTCCCGGTAGAATCCAATCATGCCGGAGCCGCCACTCTTTTTGCGCCGTTCCTCTTCTTCCTTTTCGCGGCGTGCTTCCTCTTCCTCGGCCTTCCGTAGTTCCACTTGCTGCGCCTTGTAGGCAGAGGTGACAAATTTTTCCTTGTCCTCGAATTCATCACCTTCGGCTTCACGCTCCCTAGCTAGCTGGCGATCCTTAGCTCGCAGTTGATCCCGTTTCCGGATTTCCGCACTCTGTAGCAAGTTCTGCATGTACTTGGGTGTTTCGCTCTTGGTTTCCACTGAGGCCTTGGCGGGTTTGGCGTGGAGACTGTCGTATACTTCATCGTATGAGTAGATCAATGGGTCGAGTTCTTCGGCTGCCTTTGCTTGCATGTTGCTGCTATGCATTGACGCGAGATTGGTGTATTTCTGGGCAGGGGCGGCTGGCTTGTTCGACTTCGCCTGGTTCAATCCAAGATTCATTGCGCCTTGTTGCTCTTTTTCTCTTTCCTCATCTTCATCCTCATCATCTGCAAATAGCGAGTTTTTGCTGAGCGGTTTGGCTGTTGGTTTCGGACCACTCCCAAATTGGATTTTGCGCTTCGGCGGTGGCCCTGCGCTTGGCAGGGGTTTCTTTTTCGTGGCTGGCTCCTCTAACCCTCCAATCGTTGAGATTTCGATTGCACCATCTCCGGCTTGTTGGTCTTCATCTTCAGAGCCGTCGTCGAAGATGTTCTTTCTTTTCTGCCCGTTCCCCGGTTTCTTTGCCGCGAGACTTTTGTTCGCAAGGTTCAATCCGTAGGGGATATTTGGCGGCATGTTGGAACTCAGGTGTTCCAATGAGTTCCAGTGCTTTGTGTGCTCAGATTAATAGCAATGACGTTGGTGTGTTTGGCAGGAGGTGCTTGTCGAGGTCAAAAGTTGCGACAGCGATCGACCCCGATAAAGCCCTGGCTGGTTATCAGTAGGTCACGTGCTGGTGACTTTTGCGGGGAGATCGGAGCATTTGAAGTACACGGAATACTGAACACAAGGTAATGTTGGGTCTAGGCATCAAGAGCTATTGATTATATTCTGATGCCCTATGTATATTCTGGGCTTGGTTGTATTACCGAATTCAAATATATCGTCAATACTGTTAGCAAATTCATTTCCAGGTTACAGATGCAAAGATATATAATAGCTGAGAAACGATTTTGGACAAGATATCACACCCAAATTTCCTTTGTAGACAGCATGAACCAGCATGAACTGGCTCCAAAATCCAGGAACCCACGCTCTTTATAAAATATCCTTCAATATTCAAATTGTATCCAAAGTGTATACATCATCTTCATGGAAGCTCATTTCTTATCAGCCACGTGATGGCGGCCGCTAGTAAAGCCACAATCCCCAGCTCCTCGACCGTCCTCGGGTCCATCTCAACCCTGAATAATCCAAATCTACTCAAGATGTCCTACTACTTTACCATTCTATCACCAACCGACACACCTTTGTTCAACATTGCCTTTGGCACATCAAAGGGGGGTGGTGATGGCATTGCCCGCTTCCGCTTCCCGGAGACAGCGCAGTATATGAACCAGTTCATCATCCACTCGAGTCTGGACATATTGGAAGAAGCGCAATGGACTAATGGTGGAATGTGAGTATAATAAGCTTTTCTAAATCTCAAATTGCTCCTGCAAACCAGCTCGAATCCCTGAGCTTGAATCCGAGGGCCAAATAAACACAGGGAACCTCCAAGCCCAATAACCGCGCTTCACGTCCATCAAACATCCAATTCCAAAGCTAACATTGCCGAAAAAGGTACCTGAAGCATATCGACACCTACCCACCGGCAGCAGCATACATCACGGCCTTCCTCACCCCAAGTGGCGCGCGCTTCCTCCTCCTCCACCAACCCCCGCATCTCCCCTCTTCAACCAGCACAAGCAGCGGTCTTGGGTCCTCCTCACTGCTAGGCACAGCAGGATCCACCACACGCGCCTCGTCCAGCTCTATCGCCGCAAACCCGACATCGCCGCAGACTGAAGAGGCTGTGCGTCAGTTCATGAATGAGGTATATGAGAGCTATGTGAAGACGGCGATGAGCCCGTTCTATAAACAGGGAATGGAGATCAAGAGTCCTGTTTTCAGGACACGGGTTACTGCTGCAGGGAAAAAATGGCTGTAATCTGGCTGTCCCTTGGTAGTTTTAGTTCATGAGCGTGGCGTTTCTAGGGCATGTATTCTTTTGGGGGTTGATCCTTTCTCTGTAACTATCTATTGCATTGTTTTGACTTGCTCTGCATACCATAATAGAGAAACAAGTTTACAAGTCAACAATGGGGTCGATAATCTAGTGTGATGTAATACAATCAAAAGTGTGCTTGTTGGTCTTGATTCAAAAACAACCAATTGAACTAGAAGTGCAAATGACTATTGTCCTCCACCTAAATTGGTTGGCAAAAAATGACACTATCTGGGATCAACGAAGTCCCTGACTCGCTAAAACCTAACAAAAGAAGAGGTTCGAAAAAGAAAAGCAAGGAGTATGCGCACTGCAGTATCTCAACAGAAAAGAGATAACTCCAGTCCCAAACGCCGGGGGATTTCCTTCCAATCCCAGCATCCAAAGCCAACCCGCTAAAACAAATAGTACGTACTTAGACAGTCATCTGAGGAGCCAGCTTCTTCATGGTGACGGCTTTGAAATTATCAACAGCGTGAATGACGTCTTCCAACTTGGCAACAGTTCCAAAGATTCCGCCTTCCATTTGAATCGATTCAATAGTGCCAGCATGTAGCGAGGGCTCAGCGGCTGCAGTGCCGTCATCCAAGATGACACAGTCGAAGCCACGGTCATTAGCTTCGCGCATGGTGGTCGAAACGCAGACGTCGGTGGTCACACCCGCAATGATGAGGTTTTTCACTCCCTTGTTGCGAAGGAGGAGCTCAAAATCGGTGTGTGCAAAGGCACCTCGGCCGGGCTTGTCGATGACCGGCTCATCAGGGAGGGGATACAATTCGTCAACAGTGTCGTGACCTGGTTCACCACGGATAAGCAGACGGCCCATGGGACCGGGGGAACCAATTCCCAATCCGGATGCGTTATTACGAGACCGATATGCCTCACGGCTTGAGAGAGTAGATAGATCAGGTCGGTGTCCTGATGTGAGTTAGTAAAAGATATTGAGAGCTGAGCGCAAGACACTAAGTACCCTCGCGAGTATGGTAAACCGGGAATCCCCCAGAGCGGAAAGCATGAAGCAATCTTTGCAGGCGGGGAATCAAAGCCTGCGCGCCGGAGATATCATAGCCCTGATATCCCATGTATCCTTCAGGCAAACAGACTAGAGGGAAATCAGCCAGATGATTTACCGATAGTGGTAATAGTTTGAAACTTACAGTCCTTTTGCATGTCAATTATCACAAGCGCAGTGGTGTATGGGGTGAATGAAGCATCGTGGGGCCAATCATAAGGGATGGCTGGCAGCTGTCCCTTGCGGACCTTGTGGTGAGGCACCTGTCGCGGCTTCTCGATAATAGGGCCATGGTTGTGCGTAGCATTTAGCACCGTCAGGGTCCAAATACCCGGAGAGCCCGCCGCGACTAACATAAAAGGACAATCCATCAACCGCGAGGTTCTGCGACGCTTGCGCGTTTCCTCAGTCAGACCATTCCGTGGTCGATAGTGGCCGCCACGATCACAACGCAGCCACACCTTGGCGGTGCGGCCAGGTTTCTTCTCCGTGGGCGTGCTTGACGACTTGACAACCACATTGTAGCCATGTTCCTTGCCATGGTCCTGGACTGCGGCGAGAAGGGTTGCTCTGTAGACATAAGTTGTTGATATTGGTCCTACTAAGCAAGGGGTAATGGGATGAGAACTTACTTGTCAGGGTATGTCCCTTCCGGAGGGGGCACCAATTGCATTGCCAGTTCTGGAATGTCTTGAAGGTCGCTAGGCGCATCGTCAAGGTTGAGATCGGTTGAGTCTGCCATGGTGATAGATCGGGTTGGGCCTTAGCCTCACTAGAGGGGATCTATCTAAGGGACGAAAACTGTAAGTTTAGATGTCATACCATCCTCCCTGGCTTAGACGATGCACCTCAACACTGGAGTAGACAGATGGATCTTGCAAATAATCGGGGGTAAACAAGTGCGTGGAAGCAAACAAGGATGATCAGCGATATTTAAGAACCGCGTGCGTGGGCATAGCATCCAGGGTAGTGTTTAGAGGTAACAAACGCATGTTCTTAGAGCTTGGAAGCTCGCAGAAGGTTCTAAAGCAAATATTGAAAGGCAGATAAAGCTACTTACCTCTCCGACTTGATTTCTCCAGAGACTTAAAGACTGGAGACTGGGGACTGCTGAGTCCAGATCACGGGCGGAGGTCGATCAGGATCACTTTCAGCTCTAATGAGGCTTAGCTCCATATTGATGCCTTAATATGCCTTAATATGCCTTACGTTGCCTGGGGCAGAAAGTCTCTGCTTAAACGCGCCAAAAGAGCGGTGGGTGGCTGAGCCCAGATCTGCCAAATGGGGACTAGCGTATCTACCGCCCCCCCTGACGACCGAAACAACAACACCGGTTTCTCCCAGCCCGATCTAATCTAACCCGCTTTTCGACACGAGGCGGGTCGAAGGTAACCCAGCTTTGCACATCTTAGCTCACCACATCCCTCGATCTTCTCCTCCTCTCTGTGGACGGACACATTACCAGGAACCGCAATCAATCCCTTGCGTCACCGCCTCCGCGAGGGGCTCTTATCAAAGCGCACGGTTGTTGACATCGGGCCACCACATAGCACATGAGTCTTTGAGAGGGGCTGGAGCGATCTGTAGGGCAAGACAGCCTGGTGTACAGTCTCCACTGACTTTCGCCAATTTTGGACGACACCCGTCGTCCAGACGTCTTCTTTGCGACCGGTCCTCTGGGTGCCCAACGCGAGAAGATGCCGGCCGTCGAGGAGTCACCTTCCGGACGGAAGCATACGAGTAGCTCCTACAGAGATGAACTGGCTCATTACAAATCCCAGTATGAGCAACTTGAGGCGGAGCTTGCGGACTTCCAGTCCTCCAGCCGGGAGCTGGAGGTCGAGATGGAGAAGGACATTGAAGCTTCGGAAAAGCGGGAACGGCAACTGAAGGAAAAGCTCGACACGATGCGATATGAAGTCGACGAGTGGAAGGTAATGGATCATGCTCATTGCTCACAATTTTTCCGATGCTAACATTGTGTTGGTAGACCAAATACAAGCAGTCGAAAACCGAAGGCAACTCTGTGCAGAACAACCTGCAGAAAGAAATCACCACGCTGCGAGACGCGAACCGTACTTTGCAGCTCAAGCTTCGAGACATTGAAGTTGCCAACGATGACTATGAGCGCCAAGCCCGGAACACCACCTCGTCCCTGGAGGACATGGAGTCCAAATACAACATCGGCATTGAGCGCGGGGTCTTGCTAGAGGAGGAAATCAGAAATGGGGAGCAGGAGCGGGAGCAGCTGCGCATTGACAACCAACGCCTCCGAGACGAGCTGTCGGATCTGAAGATTGAGGCCGAGATCATCCAAGAGAAGCTTCGAAATACCGAAGGACATGGGATGCGTCGCCGCAAGCCTACTCCTTTGTACCATCGCAGCCCGGCAACTCCACAGAGTTTGGAGATCTTTGACCGTTCGCCTGGCACCGCTACATCTTCCCCCGTGTTTGCCACACCCCCCGCTAAATCATCCCTTGCGTCGTCCACCGCTACCCCACCTTCGCCCCCTATCTCCGAGTCGTCTGTGAACATGCGCAAGTCAATCAACCCCCATGCAAACTCGACGCCTACATTCCCTCGACAGAGAGCCGCTGGTGCAGATCCAGTGAACTCTAGAACCCTTCACGCTCGGACTCAACCGCGCACCACTCATTCACGAACCGCATCTCTCGCTTACAGCAATAGCGCATACAGCACCGGAAATAGCAATGGCAATGGCAATGGCAATGGCAATGGTAATGGTCGGTCTACTCCCTCTATGTCGATCTCGTCTCGCAACAGTTTGACGAGAATGAATACCTCGCGGCCACCAGGGCTTCCCAAGTCCGGATCACTGTTCCAAATCCGTGGCCTGATTGGTAAGATGCAGAAGCTCGAAGAGCGCGTCCAATCAGCCAAATCGCGGCTTCCTGCCCCATCAGACACATCCTCTCGCGGATCCCCTCGTTCTGGGTCCGTGATCAGCGACACCCCGATCGTCCCCTCGTCGATCACTGTTCGCAGGAATTCTCGCAAGCGACTGAGTAATAGCAGCCTTGGTTCCTCCGCGCGGGATAGCGAAAGCACTCCATCTTTCCCCCGCAAGGTCGTCAGTCATTTGGACGGACCGGCGAGAGTCGCCCGAGCAGCCGAACTAGTTACTCTAGCCGCAGCTCCTTCAGCCAGAGCGTGCACTCCGGTGTCCCTGCCAATGCCCGGCCCGAAAGTCGCTCGAGTCGTCCCGGGGCCAAAACGCCACTGGGTCACTACTCGACGAACCCTCTGACAGAGAGCCGGCGGCCTCGGTCATCTCTCAGCAACCACGCTGGCCAACTTCCTAACATTGCTGGCATGTCCCTCATCGATGAGGACCAAGACATTCTTACGCCAACCACCTCCCGCATCTCCCAGGAGATTCAACCGCCTCCACGGCCATCTGTGACTACCACCCCCACTCCCATAGTGAAGAAGCGAACCATTAGTGGCATTCCGGCTCCCCGAAGCTTCAAGACTAGCATCGGACCTGGTGCCATGCCGCCGCCCAATAGGAAGACCCAAGTCAGTGACCTGGGAGAGACGTTTTAGTTCGTCTCTTTCACGTTTAGTATTGATGGAACTTGCATTGGGAGGGGGGTTAGTGACCGGGTGGATTGTGTGCTAGGGTTATTTTTCAACGTTTGTTTTGCATACTTCCAAGATTGACTTTGATCAACTGCATTTTCCAAGAGGAGTGGGGGTGCTTCCCGGCAGACCGCCTTGGTTTATATCCCTTCCTGTACAGTTTTGCATGTTGACTCGTCTCGGACCAGCCAGGCCTGGTTCCTCTGTGTGCGATGTGGCCCCCGGTGGATTCCGGGGGCGTTCTAAGCTGTGTCTCAGCGATTGTCTTTTCATTCAAGATCCAATAATACCCATGATGTTATTTATGCTCCAAATTATAACATTGTATGATGTACAATACCTACATGTATGTATGTATAACGACAACATACAACATAGGTTGAGGGTCCATTTTGGTGTAGAGTGTGATGTAGATCCATGGGTTTGGGAATGGGTTGGGGATATGACAATCATGAATATGATTGGCCTAGGATCATTTTTCTGTTGTACAAAGTACGCAATTTACACTCCAATTTACAGGTTGATGTTGAATCATGCACGTTGGCCGAATTGGGATAGCGTGGGCGAGTATATCTTGGTTACATCTACAAAGTCTAGATCGCATGAGAGATACATACATACATATATATATATATATATGGTATATGCCTATGTAGTAGGTAGTATGGAGTAAAATATGCCAAATAAATGATTTAGACTTGAATTTTCCAAGTTTTAACAAAATTGAACCTTGATACATGTGATAGAGAAGCAGATCGCTCTCCGTAGACACTGACCGAATCGGGGGCCGAATGCACGGGTGCGAAATGGTGCCGGGACCCATGGGGAAGCGTCCAGAATACGGAGTATTCCTTATGTTAGTGTACGGAGTTCGGAGTATACCAAGTAGGTAGTTATAGATGAGATATTCCTCCGTAATAGGACGGAGTATTCCTTCAGAGGCTGGATTGGTTTGATTTAAATCTGTATTTTCGAGAGATTAATAAACAAATAAAATCAAAAATATACAACATTGAAAAAAAAAAAAAAGAATAAAAAGAATAAAAACAAATCAAACAAATCAAAAATCGGCAGAAGTGGTGGGCAACAAATTGTAGTGGAGCCTGGCCCAACAAAGCCAGGGAGTTGGGGGAGCCCGTTCCTGGGCAAGTACCTTTCCCTACTGTTAATTATGTAAAGATACATGGGTCTGCGGTCACTGGTGGGACCTCCAGAAAATCATCTTCTCAGCAATTTTCCCCTGGACTTTTATTATTATTATACTTGACACTTGAGTTCTGAATCTCTTCATCTCTTCAATTTCTATATTCCAATCTTACATAGAAATTTCTATTCGGGTTTTGGTGGTTCCCGGTAAGTCTGACTGTATACCTAATTAGGTCTTACTTCGTACTTTTACTTCCGTTTGCGAACCCTGCAGACCGATTCAGCATTTGACGCTATCGTTCTTCAAGTCCCCCGAGTTCTCGAATTTACTTGTGCTGACCTGGCCTTTTTTTTCCCCCTCCAGATCTTATTCCTTGACGCTTATCCTCCTTTTCCTCTCCCTCTCTTTCTCTCTCTACCTCACCTTTTTTTCTGCCCACAGCCACCACTCGGGCTCTTTCCGCCACCTCCAGCATTGTACATTACCGACTTTTTAATAAGCGCTGTTGTATACTGCGCCAAACCGAAACTTCAATTTCCTACAAGGGAGTCTGACCTGTGATTCATCAACATCATGGGCATCACAAATGGCAATGGCGCGACCATCACCAAACAGGACCTCCCCTCACATTTCATCGGTGGCAATGCCCTCGAATCAGCACCCCCTAGCGCTGTGAAGGACTTCGTGACTGCTCACGATGGTCACTCCGTCATCACATCGGTAAGTGGGAGATCGAATGCCTGATTGCGGGAAAAGAAAAATGGGGAAATTGGATATGGGACTAACTTGTTCCTAGGTGCTTATTGCCAACAACGGTATCGCCGCTGTCAAAGAGATTCGCTCAGTGCGGAAATGGGCTTACGAGACCTTCGGTAACGAGCGGGCTATCCAATTTACCGTGATGGCTACGCCCGAAGATTTGACTGCCAACGCCGACTATATTCGCATGGCCGACCAATATGTCGAGGTTCCTGGTGGAACCAATAATAATAATTATGCCAACGTCGAGTTGATTGTCGATATTGCGGAGCGGATGGATGTTCACGCCGTGTGGGCAGGATGGTAAGTGGTTTGGGGATACTGAGAAACAGGGAAAAAACAAACAAACAAGAGGTGCTAATGCTCATTTTGTAGGGGTCATGCCTCCGAAAACCCTCGTTTACCCGAATCTCTCGCTGCGTCGCCCAAGAAGATCATCTTCATTGGACCCCCAGCTTCAGCCATGCGCTCGCTAGGTGACAAAATTTCCTCGACCATTGTTGCACAGCATGCTGGTGTGCCTTGTATTCCCTGGTCTGGAACTGGCGTTGACGCTGTGAAGCTTGATGAACACGGTATCGTAACAGTCGAGGACGAGGTCTATAAGCAGGGCTGCACTTTTTCCCCGGAAGAGGGTTTGGCAAAGGCCAAGGAGATCGGGTTCCCTGTCATGGTGAAGGCCTCTGAAGGTGGTGGTGGTAAGGGTATCCGAAAGGTCGAGAACGAGGAAGAGTTCCACGCTTTGTACAACGCCGCCGCCAACGAGATTCCGGGTTCGCCTATCTTCATCATGAAGCTGGCTGGCAACGCTCGCCATCTCGAGGTGCAGTTGCTGGCTGATCAGTACGGTAACAACATTTCCCTCTTCGGTCGTGATTGCTCCGTCCAGCGTCGTCACCAGAAGATTATCGAGGAGGCTCCTGTGACTATTGCGAAACAGCCTACTTTCCAGGCCATGGAGCGCGCCGCTGTGAGCCTCGGTCGGTTGGTCGGATACGTTTCTGCCGGTACTGTCGAGTACCTTTACTCGCACTCCGATGACAAGTTCTACTTCCTCGAGTTGAACCCTCGTCTGCAGGTCGAGCATCCCACCACTGAGATGGTTTCCGGAGTCAACTTGCCAGCTGCCCAGCTCCAGATTGCTATGGGTGTCCCACTGCACCGCGTTCGTGACATTCGTCTCCTTTACGGTGTCGACGCCAACGCGTCCGCCGACATTGACTTCGACTTCTCCAACGAAGAGAGCTTCCAGACCCAGCGCCGTCCTCAGCCCAAGGGCCACACCACTGCTTGCCGTATCACCTCTGAAGATCCCGGCGAGGGTTTCAAGCCTTCCAGCGGTACCATGCACGAGCTGAACTTCCGCAGTTCGTCTAACGTCTGGGGTTACTTCTCCGTCGGTACTGCTGGTGGTATCCACAGCTTCTCCGACAGTCAATTCGGTCACATTTTCGCCTACGGTGAGAACCGATCGGCTTCGCGCAAGCACATGGTTGTTGCTTTGAAGGAATTGAGCATTCGTGGTGATTTCCGAACTACTGTCGAATACCTGATCAAGCTTCTCGAAACCCCCGCTTTCGAGGACAACACTATCACCACTGGGTGGCTCGACCAGCTCATCACTAACAAGTTGACTGCTGAACGCCCCGATCAGACCGTCGCCATCATTTGTGGTGCTGTCACCAAGGCCCATCTTGCTAGCGAGGCTGGTATTGAGGAGTACCGTCATGGTCTCGGAAAGGGTCAGGTCCCGTCCAAAGAGATCCTGAAGACTGTTTTCCCTGTCGACTTCATCTACGAAGGTGAGCGTTACAAGTTCACTGCCACTCGTGCCAGCTTGGACAGCTATCACCTCTTCATCAACGGCTCCAAGTGCTCAGTCGGTGTTCGCGCCCTGGCTGATGGTGGCTTGCTGGTTCTCCTCAGTGGCCGCAGTCACAATGTTTACTGGAAGGAGGAGGCCGCTGCCACTCGTCTCAGTGTTGACGGCAAGACCTGTCTCCTGGAGCAGGAGAACGATCCTACTCAGCTCCGTTCACCCTCCCCCGGCAAGCTTGTCAAGTTCACCGTTGAGAATGGAGAGCACATCCGCTCTGGTCAGTCTTACGCTGAAGTTGAGGTCATGAAGATGTACATGCCCCTCATCGCAAAGGAGGATGGTATTGTGCAGCTCATCAAGCAGCCCGGTGCCACTCTGGAGGCCGGTGATATCCTCGGTATTCTCGCCCTGGATGACCCCTCCCGCGTCAAGCACGCTCAGCCCTTCACTGGTCAGCTGCCCGAGCTTGGGTCCCCTACCGTTCTCGGTAACAAGCCCTCCCAGCGCTTCTTCCTGCTTCACAGCATTTTGGAGAACATTCTTCGCGGTTTCGACAACCAGGTCATCATGGGTACCACCCTGAAGGATCTTGTCGAGGTGTTGCGCAATCCCGATCTTCCCTATGGCGAGTGGAATGCGCAGTCCTCTGCGCTGCACTCTCGTATTCCTCAGAGACTGGATGCTCAGCTGCAGAACGTGGTTGACCGTGCCAAGACCCGCAAGGCCGAGTTCCCTGCCAAGCAGCTCCAGAAGGCCATCGTCCGCTTCATCGAGGAGAACATCGGCCCTGCTGATGCTGAGATCCTCAAGGGCACTCTCTTGCCCCTGGTTCAGGTCATCAACAAGTACTTGGATGGTTTGAAGTCCAACGAGTACAATGTCTTCATTGGCTTGCTCGAACAGTACTACGACGTTGAGAAGCTGTTTTCCACCCACAACCTCCGCGACGAGGATGTCATTCTCAAGCTCCGCGAGGAGAACAAGGACGACATCACCAGCATTGTCCACACTGTCCTCTCGCACAGCCGTATCGGTTCGAAGAACAACCTGGTCCTGGCCATTTTGGATATGTACCGCCCTAACCAGCCTCTACTCGAGAATGTTGGCACACACTTCAAGCCCATCCTCAAGAAGTTGACCGAGCTCGAGGCTCGCTCTTCCGCCAAGGTTACTCTCAAGGCCCGTGAGGTTCTTATTCAGTGCGCTATGCCATCTCTGGATGAGCGCCTGTCCCAGATGGAGCACATTCTGCGGTCTTCCGTTGTCGACTCTCGCTACGGTGAAACCGGATGGGAACACCGTGAGCCTTCCTTGGAGGTCCTAAAAGAGGTCGTTGACTCAAAGTACACCGTCTTCGATGTTCTTCCTCGCTTCTTCGTCCACGCTGACCCCTGGGTTACCATCGCTTCCCTGGAAGTTTATGTTCGCCGTGCCTACCGTGCATACACTCTCAAGGGCATCGAATACCACGCCTCCACTGAGCAGCCCTTCATGTCTTGGGACTTCACCCTTGGGAAGCTCGGCCACCGTGAGTTCGGTGTTCTTAACTCCACCCAGCCCTCCGCCCCGGGAACTCCCGTTGCGGAGATCAACCCCTTCAAGCGGATCAACTCCATCGGCGACATGTCCCTCTTCGTGAGCGACGCCGCCAGTGACCCTGTCCGCAAGGGTGTTATCATCCCCGTGCAATACTTGGAGGATGCTGAGGAGTCCCTCTCCAAGGCTCTTGAGGTCTTCCCTGTCGGCGGCTCCAACGCCAAGCGTCCCAGCGAGCAGGGTCTCATTGCTAGCCTCGAAGGCAAGCGTCGCCCCGCCACTAAGCCCGTGAGCGACAGCGAGCTCACTGGAGTCTGCAACATTGCCATCCGCGATATCGAGGACATGGAAGATTCGGAGATTGTTGAACAGATGAAGCAGCTGCTCGCTGACAACAAGGATGAGCTCCTCGCTCGCCGTATTCGCCGTGTTACCTTCATCTGCGGCAAGCAAGGTGTCTATCCTGGTTACTTCACTTTCCGTGGTCCCAACTACGAGGAGGATCTGAGTATTCGTCACAGCGAGCCCGCTCTTGCCTTCCAGCTGGAGCTTGGCCGTCTTTCCAAGTTCAACATCAAGCCCGTTTTCACCGAGAACCGCAACATTCACGTCTATGAGGCGATGGGCAAGGGTCCCGAGAACGACAAGGCTATCGACAAGCGATACTTCATTCGTGCCGTGGTTCGTCCCGGCCGTCTGCGTGACGATATCCCCACCGCTGAGTACCTGATCTCGGAGGCTGACCGTCTTATGAACGATATCTTGGACGCCCTGGAGATCATTGGCAACAACAACTCTGATCTGAACCACATCTTCATCAACTTCTCTCCCGTCTTCAATCTCCAGCCCGTCGATGTCGAGCAAGCCCTGGCCGGTTTCCTCGATCGCTTCGGCCGCCGTCTGTGGCGCCTCCGTGTCACTGGCGCAGAGATCCGCATTCTTTGCACCGACCCCGCTACCGGTATGCCATACCCCCTGCGTGTGATCATCAGCAACACCTACGGTTTCATCATCAACGTCGAGCTGTACATTGAGCGCAAGTCCGAGAAGGGCGAGTGGATCTTCCAGAGCATTGGTGGTACCGCCAAGCTGGGCTCTATGCATCTGCGCCCTGTTGCCACCCCGTACCCTACCAAAGAGTGGCTGCAGCCCAAGCGTTACAAGGCTCACTTGATGGGAACTCAGTATGTGTACGATTTCCCCGAGCTTTTCCGCCAGGCCTTCCAGAACAGCTGGACCAAGATTGCTGAGAAGATTCCTTCCTTGTACGAGAAGCGCCCTCCTGTTGGAGAGTGCATTGACTACAGCGAGCTGGTCTTGGATGACACCGACAACCTTGTTGAGGTGTCTCGTGAGCCTGGTACCAACACCCACGGTATGGTTGGTTGGATCATCACGGCCCGTACTCCCGAGTACCCCCGCGGCAGACGTTTCATCATTGTCGCCAACGATATCACCTTCCAGATTGGTTCCTTCGGTCCCCAGGAAGACAAGTTCTTCCACAAGTGTACCGAGCTTGCTCGCAAGCTGGGTATTCCCCGTATCTACTTGTCTGCCAACTCTGGTGCTCGCATCGGTGTTGCCGATGAGATTATCCCCTACTTCTCGGTTGCCTGGAACAACCCGGAGAAGCCCGAGGCCGGCTTCAAGTACCTTTACCTCACCCCCGAGGTTAAAAAGCGCTTCGATGCCAGCAAGAAGAAGGAGGTCATCACCGAGCTCATCAACGATGAGGGCGAGGAGCGCCACAAGATCACCACCGTCATTGGTGCCAAGGACGGTCTTGGTGTCGAGTGTCTAAAGGGTTCCGGCCTCATTGCCGGTGCCACCTCCAAGGCTTACGAGGACATCTTCACCATCACTCTCGTTACCTGCCGCTCCGTCGGTATCGGTGCTTACCTTGTGCGTCTCGGTCAGCGTGCCATCCAGGTTGAGGGCCAACCCATCATCCTCACTGGTGCCCCTGCTATCAACAAGCTGCTCGGTCGCGAGGTTTACACCTCCAACCTTCAGCTTGGTGGCACCCAGATCATGTACAAGAACGGTGTTTCTCACATGACTGCCACCGATGACTTCGAGGGTGTTGAGAAGATTGTTGAGTGGATGTCTTTCGTCCCCGACAAGAAGAATGCTCCTATCCCCATTCGCCCCTGGTCGGATAACTGGGACCGTGACGTTGCCTACTTCCCTCCCCCCAAGCAGCCTTATGATGTCAGATACCTCATCGGCGGTAAGGAGGACGTCGACGGCTTCCTTCCGGGTCTGTTCGACAAGGGCTCCTTCGAGGAGGCCCTTGGTGGCTGGGCTCGCACCGTTGTTGTCGGTCGTGCCCGCCTTGGTGGCATCCCTATGGGTGTGATCGCCGTTGAGACCCGCTCGGTGGAGAACGTCACCCCTGCCGATCCCGCCAACCCCGACTCCATGGAGATGATCTCCACTGAGGCTGGTGGTGTCTGGTACCCCAACTCGGCCTACAAGACCGCCCAGGCTCTGCGCGACTTCAACAATGGCGAGCAGCTGCCCGTCATGATCCTGGCTAACTGGAGAGGATTCTCCGGTGGCCAGCGTGATATGTACAACGAGGTCCTTAAGTACGGTTCGTACATCGTCGACGCTCTCGTCAAGTACGAGCAGCCTATCTTCGTGTACATTCCTCCCCACGGTGAGCTTCGTGGTGGATCTTGGGTCGTCGTTGACCCCACCATCAACCCCGACCAGATGGAGATGTACGCCGACGAAGAGTCTCGTGGTGGTGTCCTGGAACCCGAGGGTATGGTGAACATCAAGTACCGCCGCGATAAGCAGTTGGACACCATGGCCCGCCTGGACGCGACCTACGGCGAGCTCCGCCGCTCCCTGGCCGACACCTCCCTTACCAACGAACAACTCACCGAAGTCAAGGCGAAGATGGCCACCCGCGAGGAGCAGCTCCTGCCCGTGTACATGCAGATTGCGCTTCAATTCGCCGACCTGCACGACCGCGCCGGCCGCATGCAAGCCAAGAACACCATTCGCAAGCCTCTGCAGTGGGTCAACTCCCGTCGCTTCTTCTACTGGCGTCTCCGCCGCCGTCTCAGCGAAGAGACCATCGTCAAGCGCATGGTCGCCGCCTCGGCACCCCCTGCCCCCGGCGCCGACGCTTTCGGCCAGTCTCTTCGTGCTACTCACCTGCGCACCCTGCACGCCTGGACTGGTCTGCTGGACGAGGAACTCGAACACGATGACCACAAGGTTGCTACTTGGTACGAGGAGAACAAGAAGGTTGTTCAGAGCAAGGTCGAGTCGCTGCGCACTGATGGCGTTGCGTCTGAAGTTGCTCAGTTGCTTATTGGCAACAAGGAGGGTGGTCTCCGCGGTGTGCAACAGGTGCTTTCTATGTTGCCTGTTGAGGAACGTGAGAATGTGCTGAAGTACCTTGGTTCTGCTTAGTGGGGTTGCATATGTTTTTTGCACAGAAGCATCTGTTATGACTTGATGGTTCGATGTTTTTCTTTTGGTTTTTCATTTTTTATTTTGTGGTAGATTGCATGGTGTTCTTGTGCTTTTGTTTTTGGATCATTTTATATAACTATACTATAGTGTTGATATTCAATCATAATATTCAATACATTATTCAACAAGATCACCTTCTCTCCATGAATAACCGAAACCAATGAAGTAAGTGGTAAACGGTAAACGGTAAACGGTAAACGGTAAATAGCAAAGCTATGCAATATGTCCAGTCATGGGAAGTATATAAGAAGCTTCACCCTCAACAAACACCCGCATACCCTCCCTTGCTATAGAATTTCTTCCATCCACCCTTCTGCCCCGTCCACTCTCGTCGCAGATCGCGCTCCCGTTCTCGCACCCTTTTGCTATGTGATCGGCTATGCGACCTGCCTTTATGTTTAGGCTCTTTGGCTGATTTTGAGGGTTCTGATTTGGCGAAAAGGCGATTGAGCCAGGCAAACATTTTGTGACTGAATCTGGTTTGATACCTGGTCGCAAGGAAAGTTGGGGTAAGTAACTAGAGCTAATCATATAGGTCGAATGTGGGTTCAAGGGGGATTTAGGTTTACCTGGGGATGATTCATGCAATACGCATACAACATACGGAGTAGTAGTAGTAGTACGGAGTACAGAGTAGAGGTGATGTTGGATGTTGGATGTTGGATGTTGGTGTGTGGCTTGGGTTGGGGCGGGGGACTTGGCTGTTTGTTCATGGGGCCATGAGGTGGAGTTACTATGATGGCCAACAAGAAACTAATAAGAAACTAACAACTTGGCATGAGATATCAATAAGGGCCTCGTTTAATCAAATTTGGTATAATATCATGGTTTTTACATAGAACATACAATCTAACCATGTAACTTCTTCAACCGAACATCCTTCCAAGCCCCTACAATAACAATCCCCAATATCATCATGAACAAGAAAATCAAAATAAACGTCTTAGCAACCATGCCACACGCTTTCTGAGAAAACTCCCTTCTCTCTCTGCGCTCCCGTTGCCGATCACATTCCGCACAGTGAGTGTGTTGAACCGGGTCATCGGCCACTGTCACTGCGATAGGGACGGGGGCTGGGACGTCATGAAGGTGATGACCATGTTCCACGTCGCGGTGTTCGTTGGTGGTATCTGTTTGACCGACCATGGTATACTGTATATATTCATGTAGATTGTGATTAGTATGTTGGTGGGAGTTGATCATCCCTTCTGGGGGAAGTTGCTTACGCCATTCCGTGAGCTTGAACCGGGCTCGTGGAATAGGTCCTCGTAGGCAGGTGCTGGTTCTATTGGGGTTGAATTTCCCATTGTGGATGGTATAAATCTGAGGATGTTGGTGATTGAAGGAGAAGTATCTCTCTTCGTTGTATGACAGGTGGGGCTAGGCAACAGCCCTGGAGGTTCAACGTGATTAGTCATCTCTCTGGACATTTTAATATAAGAAGGATATTAAAAGATACAAGGCAGGTCAGTGCTTGTTATAGAACTATGTGACTGATATCAAGTTGCCTACTGTAGTTACTAGGTTAAGGGGATATAGAAATGTATGAACTGGTTTGTCCATTGTCATACCTAACTATATAGGTATTGTAGTGTTGACTACGTCCCATTAATAGCACGAAGCAAAATCCCCAAATTCTATGCGAGAAACATTTTACATTTATTATTCTGAATAAACAGACTAGGAATTACTTATATACGTCGCCAATAGGGTGTAATTCTGCAACCAAAATTTGATACTCTGTACTTTGTAGACGATGTCCCAATACGGATAGGAGTGCGAGCGCTAAGAATTTCACTTACCATCCTTCGGATATCCCCACTAAGCCCTGCGATAACTTCCAATCGCAATCATTACCTATAAAGGCATTTATGAAGATACCGCAAAGCTATCTCAATATGGAGTGCTCAATGCTGTGGCCTGGACTTAGACTAGATGCTAAATCCAATTGAGGGTCAAATATCAGTCTCTCCCTACTTCGAAGAGTGAAGTATAGTAGGGTATAAAGATGCTTCACTCTCCGCAGGCTTTTTTTTATCTCAGAATCAATCACCTTTGCTTATTTGAATATCCCATCGAACTATGTTTCTGATCTACAAGAAAATCAAGAAACGAAATGAGCGGAAACGCTTAGATTCTGCAGTGTCAAATACGCCCGACAATGCAATCGAATTGGACACACCAGTTGATTTCCCACAGCCTGATGAGGGAAAGGAAAAGAAAATCCCTTCCGCGGAAGGCGTTGCAGAGAAGAAACGAAGAAATGTCTACCGCTGGAAGATCATCCTGGGACTATTTAGTCCATACTGCCTCCAAGCCCTAGATACAACGATCGTGGCCTCAGCTCTACCATTTATCGCAGAGGATTTCAGTACGTATCAGACACACACAAACCAATTCCCAATGACCATCCTCATCCTTAACTACCCACTAACTACCCCATAGACCAAGTCAACCAACTAAACTGGATAATCTCCGTCTTCAACCTCACCTCAGCCGCCTTCCTCTTCTTCTGGGCCCAACTAACCGACCTCTTCGGCCGCCACATCGTCCTCCAATCCGCAATCTTCATAATGATGATCGGCTCCGCAGTCTGCACAGGCGCCCCAACATCAGCCTTCAGCGTCCTCCTCGTCGGCCGCGCCCTGCAAGGCATCGGCGCCGCAGGCGTGAACATCTCCATCCGAACTATCCTCGCCGACCGCGTCTCCCTCGCCGAGTACGCAGTTAACTGGACTGTATTCGCCCTCGTCTCTAGTATCGGGTTTAGCATCGGACCCGTCATCGGCGGGTATATGACGCAGACGTCGTGGCGCTGGTGTTTTGCGATTAATCTGCCTATCGCGGTTGTAGCAATGGTTGTTGTGGCTCTTGTTCTGAGGACTGAGTTGCAGGGTCCGCTGCCTATTCCTGAACCCGAGGATAGTGGTGGTATCTCGACTCGGTCTGGACGGTTCCTCGCGAGGATCTCAACGATTGACTACGGTGGCCAGATGCTCTTCCTCTGGGGATTCGGTCTTCTTATCCTTGCTTTGACGTGGGCGGGTGGTGTCTACTCCTGGAAATCCGTTGCCGTCCTCGCACCGCTCGTGATCGGTGGGATTCTGACGATTGCTTGGGTTGTCTATGAGCGCTGTATGGTGTCTGGCTCGTTTATGGCGCGAGTCCTCCCGCGTCAAAAGGCAATGGTGCCGTGGGAATTACTAAGACAGCGTGATATCGGTTTATTGTTCCTGATCAATTTCTCGATCGGGATAGCCATGTTTGCTGTTATGTATTTCATGGATATATACTTTACGCTGGTGCAAGGGAGGAGTTCTAGCGATGCCGGTATCGCACTACTATATTTCCTTCCTGGGTTAGGTGGTATGTATACACTCTACCTATTGAACATATGAAACATGAAACAACCCTGACTAACTCAAACAGCCGGACTATTCATGGCGATGTTCTCCTCAAACGTCTGGCCCCGACAAACCTTCCCGGCTCTTTTCTTCGGCAGTATAACCTCAGCAGTAGGAATGACTGTTCTGGCATGGGGCGTCCACGCAGGCAAAACAAGCGTCATCTACGGCATGATGGCGTTAGTTGGACACGGAGTCGGAATGAGAATGAACCCGGCATCTATGCACGGACTGGCGTATTTCCCTGCAATGACTGCGCAGATCTCGTGTCTTGCTTCGTTTGCGGTTCCGTTTGGAGGTTTACTGGGGTTGACTATTATGTCGACGGTGTTTACGAATAAGAGTGGGGTTGGACAGCGGGATGCTAAGGGTGGTGTTATGTGGGCTTTTATTGCTATGATGCCGTTAATGTGGCTGTCTGTTTTGCTTACTACTTTCCTTGGGAATGTGTGGATTTTGAAGGAGGGGGGTCATGAGGTTGTTAATAGGCCCTATCTTTGGGGTTTGATATTTGGGAGGGAAATTGTGAGGGAGAGGAGAGCTCGCGGGGAGGATGGGGATAGTGAGGTAACTGTTTAGAGGGATTATATATACCCGTGGATGGGACTTGTGACTTGACTTCTCGGCTGATATAGGGAAATGGCAAACCCTAGAATATAGAGTGATGAAGAGATTCAAATCTTTATAACATCTTGAGTTAGACATGATGCAATACCCAATACAAAAGGCTGTTAGAGTAGCCATCTCTCACCAATTAAATTGATTAAGTTGCATTCAGCTGTATTAACATAAACAAAAGCGTCGAAATTCACTTATGACAGAAAATCGCATAATAGGTATCACCCTTATCGACCCAAATTAATTCGTACCGAACCATATCTGCTCCCTCCCTAAAACCGGACTAAGATCCTGGAACCCAAATGGAAGCCCATTTCCCCTTCATCTTTGGATCATTCCACTTCTTCAGACCCTGAATCTCCTTTGCCTCCTCCAAACTGCCCCAACCACGCTTAAGCAGGCCCTGGGGACTCCGTGGAATGTTCTGCACCACGATCGCTGCTTCTTGCGACTTAGATACAAAGACCGACAACTCGCCGATGATGTGCATAGCCTGCTGGATCATGGCGCGCAAGACGATATTGCCGGTAATCCGTCCGGGCGGTTCATGGTAGCCTTGATAATGCACGTATGTTGTTATGACGGTTGTGGAGGCGTTGGACTATATCATGCTTAGTATTATCTAGCCTTTCAACTCTCCCGATTGTAGCTCTTATTTGAAAGTGTTTACCTTCCTCGGGGTGTTCTCTTGCACTTGGAGGTTGATCCATCCGATCTCGTAGGGGGCAGCAGAGTTGAAGTATCCCTGATAGTCGATGCGGAAGTCGTCGTTTTTCAAGAGCGTTGCGCCTCCATTCTTGCTGGCTGGTAAGCTTAAGATGTCGTCCTTTTGCTCTAACATCAAGAGCCAGTCTATTAATTTTGTTTTCTTGGTTCTAGAGTAGTATTCGCCGTTGCGTTTAATGAGGGTGGGGGTATCCCGGATGTTGCTTTGGGTGGTCATTATGGAATGGAGTTGGGATTAGCGAGTATTGAGTATTGTTTGACTTGGATGAGAAGGCTTAGAGGGGTGAAAAGACTGGTATTTATACAAAGATCAACGAAATTACTTGTCATGTTATAGCATATAATACGAACTATGAGCCAGCAGCCTAATCCCCGGGGTTGGGCCTCGTTCAGGTGAGAACGCCGAGTGCCCGGGCAAAACCACTTGACTTGCCTAATTAGGAAGAGGACATCCTCTTTGCTAATTAAACTAAATAAGTAAAGATTTATATATTGTACTCCGCTCTATGCGCCTATAGCTAGAACGGTAAGATCGAACGAAGTATACGTATATAAAAGCGAGAGTAATTCTTCAAGATATACCCAGCTTCCTAAACGTCTATAGCGAGAGATTATATCAAAATATTCAAATAGTAAACTCAAGCCGATTTCCAGCAAAATCCCGAGCGAAGAACCGCGTGGGATATTCTTTCCCTTGAGCGCCTATAGCTGTAATCAGCAAATAGTCACACGCAGTACGTAGGATATATCAAAGGCCCAGGGGCCAGGGATATCTTACCAGAGTTTACATCGCCGGGCTTATCAGCAGACATTGGGGCTGCGGCACCACCACGGGTATGGTGGTCATAGATGCTTCCTTTTATCTCCTCCAGTTCCTCACGGGACGACAGCTTGAAGCATGGGTGCCGGTTAGCTTCGGGATCAGTAGCGCCGAAGCTAATATGCACTTGCTGTCCACTGGAGCCGATGTCAAACCTGTTAATAACATTAGAGATGTGTGTTTCTTTTGAGAAATAGTGCCCTTCAATACCATAGAATTGTTCCCTTCTGGAGCTCCGGTACCGGCGCCGAGGTGAGTCCGAGGGTGGTCCCGTAGAACTCCTCGGCTTGGTCTAATGTACCCTGAGGGATTGGGAGGTTGATGTGGGCGATTCCGGAAATCATGATTTATGGTAGAATATATGTTTGTGTGATTGTGTTTGAGCGAGACGAGTTGGTATATATTCAAACCCCCACGGGAATCAGTTTCCGTGTCGGATTATGAGATGAGTCAAGGAACAAATGCTATGATGACGGTTACTACACAATGTGGAGGTTGGCTTGGTAGTTTAGTAAACGATAAGATCTCCAGTAAATCCCAGGAAAATTACCCGATGAATTCCATGTCGCGATTGTCCAGACTGAATCTGTCCCTCATAAGAGGGGCAGAGCTCATGTCGGCTCCAGCCGAAGGTCGGGGAGGTCTGGTTTCATTCCCCGATCTCTTTATATAAGGCATAATCCTAGGTATCCGAGTGTTTGTGTTTGTTATGGATAAATTCTCCAGGTTACCCTCGTCTACGGGACATCACCAAGGTCGCTTGTGTGCGCAGTCTATGTTTCACAGACATGGGTGACGATAGACATGGAGTATGGAGCAGTCCGGTAGAACCGGACGCTTTCTAGTTGGTCTGAGCGATATCCCAGAAACTCGAGATGTGTAACAATAACAATTTGAGGAATATGAATGGGGGGATATGCTGTTGTGACAGTCGCCTTTCTTAGTGTGTGAGTATCGGACAAGATATTGGCTCGGCCATTTAGATGGAATAGTATCATTGAATGCAAGGCTCATGGGGTTCATAGCGCACCATTTCGAGCAAAGTAGTCATCAATGATCATATCCGCCGCCTTTTCGGCAATCGCATATACAGTGGCTTGGATGTGTGCCCCAACTTGCAATGGCATGATGCTAGCATCTACAACCCGCAGAGCATTCACTCCATACACCTGTAGCATTTCATTCACAACTCCAGCATTGATCCCGTCTGCTTCACCCATAGCGCAGGTTCCAACTGCTGTATGCATGTTTAGTAATTTGCTGAAGCCATGGATTTGAGAGGGAGAACATACGATGCCAGTCGGTGACAGTATAATTCGAGACAAACTCTTCGTATACTTCGTCCTCGGTCTTTGCCCCATTGGCAGGGGGAGGAAAGACTCGCCCGCGAATGAGTTTGGCCAAAGGCTCGGTTTGACAAATTCGATCTCCCCATCTGAGTGCTTTGGCCATGACCTTCTTATCAATCTCCCCAGGTCCTAGAAAGTATCGTGGATCAATTGTGGGTTTCTCATCAATTGTGGCCTTTTCATAATTGGTTTCGCTCATAGGGGGTATATGGATAGATCCGCGCGAGAAAGGGTACTGCAGCATTTGCAGCATTGTGGCGTATTTCTTTCCTGGCTCAGAGACAAAATATGGGCTCCAGTTACCCAGATCGAAGAGATACTCGACTTGGCCGCGCGCTTGACCGGACTCGAATTGGCTAGCTAGAAGAGCGTCATGTGTACGTCCTGTGATTCGTGCGACTTCCTTAGCTTGGGTGTGTAATTCATCGCATTCCTCAGGCGATAGGATCTTCGAAAGCGGACAGTATGCCACTGAACAGGGCATCACAGTCCAAGGCCCGGTCTGGGAAGCGTAATAGGCGCGGTCTGCAGCTTCGCGCTGAACCGGGTCTTTGAGAATGTCATCACGGGTGGGAATCGTGGAGGGTATTTCGAAGATGGTGGCAGTCACTTCTAAACATCAGTCAAGATCATGAGGAGCTCTTTTTATATTTCATACTCATATGCTCCTGTAGATTCTCTCCTACGTTGGGACTGTGGTATTTCGTTTCAATTCCAGCAGCTTCCAACACATTTTGATTGCCAATGCCGGATAGCTCCAGAAGTTGGGGCGATTGCACGCTACCGGCACAGACGATTACCTCTTCGTACGCTTTGATATTTGCTTCCAGTCCGTTCCAGCGTACCCGAGCCCCTGCTGCGTACCACTCATCATCTTCGAATTTGAAGAGGATTTCCATGGCAGTTGCTTCAGTCAGTATATGCAAGTTTGGGCGATTCGCAATGGGATGATAGTACGCAGAGGCAGAGTAGCTGCGCTCCTGACTATCTGGATCAATTGTGCAGACCATATTCCAGACGCCTGTATTATCCCCTGCCAGACTATCCCGCGTAGATGGAACCCCAAGGCTATTCAGCGTCTCGTGCCAATACTGGTGTGTGGGGCCATACTGCTTGGTATGGGTTGTATGTAGAGGGCCCTTCGTTCCATTTGCCTCGGGATCATAGGACGACTGATAATATTTCTGATGAGCGGCACTTGGTGGGTGGAAACTCTCACTGCGGTGGAAAAAGGGCCTGCAAGGAATTCAGTACGCCACACAGATCAGCCGGTGAAATTCAAGGCAGAACCCGAATCTAGCAAACTGGTCAACTCCTACAGTAGATCTTCCCATCCCCACCCCTCATTTCCCAACTCCGCCCAAGCATCATAATCTTTGCGATGACCCCGATTCCAAGCCATAAGATTGAGCGCACTTGTGCCACCTAATATACGACCTCGTGGCCATGGTAGTGATCTTCCTCCCAGGCCCGGTTGTGGGGTAGTTTTGAATTTCCAATCGTATTTCGAGCCGATGGTTTCGCCGTACCGACCTGGAACATTGACTGCGCCATTATCTTCGGTGTTCAAGACCGATGGGCCAGCTTCGATAACTCCCACAGAGAATTCAGGGTCCTCGGTGAGACGCGCAGCAACAGCTAGACCTGCGGTACCTCCGCCTATTATCAAGTAATCGAGATCGAGGGCGGCGAACTGTTGGAGGGTCTCGTTACCCATGGCTGATGAGGGGTATGGGGAGAAAAATCAAATCAAAACCTCGTAATTGGGCTGCTTTGCGCTCAGCCTCGTTGGATGCCAAGCAACGGGACATTTGGTGAATTTATGCAGGTTTGTCGCTTGTACTTGGTCGTACCTGCGGGGTACAGCAAACCCAATAAATCCATTTCTCATATCACTGCCACAATCGGTCTTTGGCAGTTGAAAGGACAACAAGTTGAGGCCGCACTCATCAAGGAAAACCCCCCAAACCCTTGGTATTTTGCTTGCATATGCCATAATTTGGAGGGTTATACTGTTATCTTTCCTCTCTATATCCACAGCATGCGGAGCTTATACTCCAAACAATAGAAGAACCGGGTTCAGATCCAACATCAGTTGTTCATGGCGGACCCACAGTTTATATAGATGTCACATTCGAAACACCTGATATCCTTTGCATCGGAAATTTGAGTGGGTTCTATGGACCAGGAGGATGTTTCCTGTCAATAGTGGGTTTCACGAGAGAGACTTGGTCCAAATACATGGCTGTTTCTGCTGGGAACTAACTGGGCTGCGGTTGGTCTTTTTTCGTGGAGTCCGCATGGTTTTAATACTTGGATGATTGAGAATTGCCCACGTGGGCATATCAAATAAAATTAAGCTTAAAATTAGGGCATAACAGGCATAACTTCCCCTGGAGATGTTGTCTACAGATTTGGGACTGGCTACGTCATCGAATACAGTGGAGAACCGACACAAAATATTGCGAACCCCCCACCTCTTTCTAATTTGCTTTCTGCAACAACCTCGCGTTGCTTTCATTTTTGAAAATATGACGGCCATGTCACTTGTGACCGACCCTCTGACCGTCCTACCTCCAGAGATTGTCCTGCAAATCTTGCACTTCACCCCCCGTCTCCGGTCTCGCGTCCCTGACCGCGACCTCAAAGGCTTGGCATCAATTTATCGACGTCACCCACCAAGAAGCTATTTACACATCCGAAGCCAAAACCGTCCAGCCACCTGGAGGTAGCCGGGATTTCTCCTTCCTCTCCGATTCCCACAGCTTTGCCAAAGTATTCGAGGGCACAAAATCATGGAAAGACCTATGCAAACGTCAGACACTGCTGGCCCGCAATTGGGCCAAGACGCATCCAATCAGCCAGGAATCGGTGCTACAAATCGGCAATGATCCCGTTTGGCGGTTCCGTGCCGACTTCAAACGCCGCTTTTTTGTTTCCACCTCCCATGCTGGCGGGTTGAACGTCACTGATATGGACACGGGTCGTATCCTCTGGCAACTCCCTCCGGCGCAGGACACCGACGGAGATGGAGTTCGCCAACATGCACACTTGGAGTATCAGGATGGAATGGCCGTGTTTGATAGTGATGGAGATTCCCTCGAGGTTTGGCAGGCGGATCAAGAAGGTGCAAAGCGTGGAGAGTTCCGGCGCATCGCTATCTTGAACCATGATTGCCAGACGAGAGGATTCCAATTGTCCTACTGGACTCTCTGTGTTGTTTCCAACGAGGGCCAGGGCTTTGTGTACGATATGACACAGCGACCCCCTACATTGACCAAACATTTGAAGATTGAGAGAGGTGGTATTGGTCATCTGGACCAAAGCGAAGATATTGTGATCTACTCTATGGGAGAAAAAGGCTATTTTGCCTACAACAAGGAGTCTGGTGCATTTTTAGGGACGTTGAAGCCGTCGAAGTTGACAGAAAAATATCACATTCTTCCTCCCCAAGTCGACGCAGCACTATCAGGGGCTGCACAGCTTGGCCCAACACCTCAACCCCTCCTACCCGGGACTTTCCGAAAAGATCGTTTGGTGCCAATTGAGGTTGCCAAAGGGCCACTGTCACCACCAGATGACCCAGAGCACGTCTGGTATGAGAATGATGAATGGGGAGCGGGAATGTTGCACGGCGATCTCTTCGTGGGCTTCTCTCGCGCTGGTCGTGTTTTTATATGCCCTGATTTCCGCAAGGCTCTCCGTGATGAAGCTAGTCTCGCGGCAAACAGCTCAATCCTGGAATGTGAATCAGATGGGTCAGGCTTTGACCTAGGTGGCTGGTTATCAATCCGCAACCACCGTGTGATGTTCGAAATTCAGGATCGGATCTATATCGTCGCCCTTGATGACAACGATAGGGTTCAAAATTTGGAGAATCCTGCCCGTGCTTCGTATTCGCTGCTCACCAGCTCTGCGCCACAGCTTGCTGTGCCGATCAGTTACATGGCATTGGCTGACGATGCTATTATGACTACTTATACCGTGAGCTCTTTTTTGGATCTATGAGCATGAAAAAAAAATTAAAGCAGAACAACTAACATCAGAAATCGCAGACCCTTGGCTGGCGTGAATCCAACGTTCCAGGCGGCGCCCCTCCACCACAAGGCAGAGATCTTCCTCGCGTCTTTCCCACAAAAGTTATCCGCGTGCTAAGCCTGACCCCTAATCTCCCTAATGAATCTTCCTCTGTCCCCGGCGGCATGAATGAGTTTTCAACCTTGGATAACGGGGTCCTTGGTGGACCCAGTCCAAATTTGCCATCCGAAGACGCCTCCCGCACACAGGCAGGGTTGCTACAGCTGCTTAGCATGCTTGGCGAAGAAGCGGATTTTGAACAGAACGATAGTGAAGATGAATGGGAGAGTATGGACGAGGACGGGGATGGGGATGAGGATGAAGAGGAGAATTAGTACGAGCAGCCACATATGTCCGATGGGGCCTAGATTTGCTATTGGCTAGCCCCGAGGCAAGGGACCTTGCTGGCGTGGAAGTTTTGTGTCCTAGTGCGTTGTCACATCTGACACCCACCATCACGCACTCCCCACAACTAATTTGCTGCAGTCCATCACGTCACTGACGGCTGTTCCTCTTAGGCCGTGTACATTGTGACACCCTCAAACTTGGAACTGTGGAATTGATGGAAGACTTGGTACAATGTGATCCCATGGAACAGGCTATAGACAACTCAAAGCCGCTTCAATTTCAATGCAACTATCGAAAACAACACTTTTTGGGGATTACTGTCTCCATTGGGAGATCAACAGGCTGTGGAAAGTATAGGAAAACAAAATGGTGGAGCATAGTCGAAAATATCTGGAAGTCCTAGTGATGATCACCAAATGTGGGCAATGACAAAGTAGAACCCCCCACCTATCTATCTTCTTCACCGAAGCAATTCGGTTTCGCTTAGTGCAATGCCACTAACGTAGGAGATCATTCATACTAATGTGCTACATATCTTGCAGGATCTTTCTTTGGGATTAAGGTTGTGTTAAGTGGGTCATGCCAAGTGGGTCCATCACAGAACAAGGTGTGGCTGTTATGTGTATTCCAACGTTGGAATGTGAGTCCTAGGTACTATGTACGAAAATTGTGAATGATATACATCCGGATTTTAGAATCAAGGCATTAGATTTAGCAACCACATGTATTTTGCTTCATATATAGGACTACTAGGAGCTGTCAAAAAGAACCATTTAATGATATGTTACACAGACAACACGGATTGGTAAATTCACATTGTGCAGAAGCGAAAATCATGGACGCTTCTTACAAACACAGATTGGCTTCCTACTCAAACAAAGACTCCTTTGGGGGTCAACCCATAGAACCAAATAATTTCCATCGCCCCTAGCACACCATAATCTAACCCGTCATTCACGGCGGATATACACAACAAGGTTGGACACAAAGGGACCATGCCCAGCCCCGTATATGCCCCAGAACTCATAGCAGTCATATTCATGTTCAATCATGTTTCGTACGCGGTCGGTGTTTGGGTTATGGCTAGGAGAACCGGCTAGTAAGTAAGACGAAGTGAACATAACATCAAACTCAAACTCACCGGCCAACAATTGTTCCAAGGACAACCCGACCCCAAATCAGCATAACAGGCCGAGCAAAGTCAACAGTAATCTCTTTCAATGGAAGGGCCGGGCAGCAAGAGAACAGAACGCTGTTGTCGTCAATTTCCAGCAACGCCTGGGGGTCTTCCAGGACTTTACAGTCATGCTGCGCAAGAGCCCAGGTGTCAATGGCAGTGTAGCAGGGATCCTGAGCATAGAGTTGGATTTTCTTGTTGGTGATCTCTTCAATCCTATCCCTAATTGTGATCATAATAGAATGTTGGACCGCGCTGCGATGGATGTTGTCATAAAGAATTTCTCCGCAACCCTCGCAAGGACCTTGGCCCTTTGGGTCTGTTGTCGCCGATCGCTTTCTGTTTCTGACTCCGGTTTCGGGTTGACTTTCGGGTCCAAATTCCATTGATCCAGATGCGATACCCACCACCTTAGTGACTTCATGGGCGTTAAAGACGAGCTGAAGGATGGAACTGAGCTCCTGGAACTCGGGTGTTTTCTTCCAGGACTTCAGGGTTGCTTCGAGAGTCTCGTCCAGGGCCACGGGGTTCTCAACGTACGCACGGGAGGTGGGCTGCTTAGTGTCACTCGCTCGCGCAAGCATGAAATGCTCAATCTGCACAGGGAAAAAGGCCTCCGCCAGGTCGATGGTTCGAGACTCGACTGCTGAAACGAGTTGTTCATAGCAGGAGTATCGGAGCTTTGGTTTCTGGCTGTTTTGATATCTGTGTTAGCTGGGGTCACGTGCCAGAAGAGCCCTGAAGAAAAATCATGAACAACGTACACTTCCCACTCCTCATTCTCCGCTCCTAACAGGACCTGTCCAGTAATTACTTGGTAGTAAATCTTGGAGCCGCTGAGGCCTTTGACAGAAATCAGTTGCTTTGAATCACTCTTTCGCCGGGTGTAGTACCGGCGATTGAGTTGGTTCGAGACATCTTGAAGGTCTTTCTTCGTGAAGAAAGGCTTCTCGCCCTCATGCCATGCCTTGAGGAACTCCACAGCTTTCTCGATGCTGCATGGTTCTTTGCTGGACCGAGTGACCAACTCGGGATCCCCATGGAAGGTTTCCAAATGGTGCATTATCTGGAATTTCGAGGAAGAACCGCTCGGGGGTGTGATCGAATCAAAGAGTAGAATAAAGTTTCGGTAATCTTGAAGATGGGAGAGAAGAAAAAAAAGAAAGGTGATGGGTAGAAGGAGAGAAGAAGAAAACAGACGGACGCGCTGTGACGAAGACGAATACGCGTTTGGGCAGAGAGACGCCTGCCATTGATTGATTTGGGCGGAGAATGAATTGATACCATTGTTTGCGTACAACTTCAAAAGAAGCCATAGTAGAAGTTATATAGCAATGAATGTAGGTCAGTTTCATGAACATGGAGTCATATTGACCTTACTTTCATATCATTGGCAGTTTATAATCCTTTCTTCTTCCTCTTCGTTCTTCATGGGTACATTCAATAAGTCATAGTAACAGGTGCATGTAGTGCATTGCACTGAGTCCAAATGCCGCGTAATATTCATTGGATTTGATGGGATACTGGGGAAGAGAGTAGGCAATATGACTGTATTGTAGCTTACTGCCAACTCCTAAGGGGAAAAGAAGAAGAAGAGGGAGAGGAAGCTATTTGTAGCTGCCAGTCCTGACAAACAGGATCAGGTGATCTCACTTACAAGTGTCTATAAAGGTAGTGCTTGGCCAAGAATAAAATCAAGTCAGTTTCTTAGTTTTCTCTTCCCCAATTCATAGTCGCAAGCTTCCAACACATGTTATTATAAACCCCTATCGAATCGTTGAGTGGGAGTACCATGAGGCCCGTGACGTCGCTATTAAATGGGCTCGCAAGCAGGGCATTGAGGTCGTTTTCCATGAGTACCGAGAGTGCCACGTCTTCTTACGCTCTTTTGACCCAAAGCGCGACGTGATACGGGTTAGTGAAGATGCATTTGAAGGCTTCACCGACAACTGTTGGGGGATCCACAGGTCGGATCACTTAAGGAGTGTTTCTATTCCCTTCAGAATCGGTCAGTTCGCTCTGCCTGAGAGCGTGGTCATGGATCGTCAGTCTTTGGAGTTGCTTTACAACACAATTTCCAGCTTTTGCGGTGATATGGTTATATATATCATCGCTGGCGAAAATCCAGATTATTCTTCCAAGTTCGTTGATTACACAAAGGTACAGACACGGTGGGATCTTTGTGGCGCATAGGAAGGAGAAGCATTTGTCTGGGATCGAAACAACAAGAGATTTGATAGGAAAGGTGGCCCCCGAATCCTCCAGCACGACTCCTCCAGCACGACTCCTACACGCGGGTATTGGAAGGCATTGCAGTGCTAGCTGGGATTCTTATTCGATTCCTGCCCGATATCGACTTTGAGATACGGGCTGTCCGTGCAATCAGACTTTGAATGTTCCTTTGCGTCACATATCACTGACAACATGCGGATCACCACAGCTCTCATGAAGAATCGTCCGTTCATGGATTCCAATATTGGGAAATTAATTTCAAAAATCAAATCTTTTCTGTCTGTCTTATTGACTTCTCCTTTTTTCAATTAATATAAACATACTATATTAGATATTAATTGTGATTGTATAAATACCGTTGGTTATTACCTACAACAGTCTCCCCTATAAAGATTCACCCACCCCTAGTCTAGCGGCCAAGAGATCGGCCAATCTTCTTCAGATTCAGTTCAGATTCAGTTCAGATTCAGTTCAGATTCAGTTCAGATTCAGTTCAGATTCAGTTCAGATTCAGCTCAGATTCAGCTCAGATTCAATTTACTTTAGAAGTCCCTATGGCCATTTTAGAAGGTATTCATTTTATTAACCTTATAATCTACCTAGGTAGGTATTCAATTAGTTTTTTGTAAAGTGAGAGTAGATCTAAATTACTGCTAGAGTCATCAGCCACCTGAATAGGAAATTATTATGTTCGCCATCGAAGTGGTGAAAACTTACATGTGCATAAAAAATTCATCCAGCATCCGGCGATGTCGCGGCACATTCTCTCAAGTGCTGGCAAACCAGGTGGACCATATTCTGTACCACCTGGCTAGCCTCACCTTTTGTGTGCGCATGTTTATAGGCACTACAGTGATGAGATTGTGTCTGCCCCTCGCGGCCATGTATCTTCACCCGACCATTGTGAAATGTGTTCTATGAGTCCACATATCCATCTGCTGTCGTTCTATGGCGACTAGTATATCCCGGGTGACCCAAGTCCTTGCGTGTACCATGCTGTATACGTCACCCTTGCTCCTAGGACATCGGTTGCTAGTAAGATAAGTCCTAGTATCAGAAGAAACAAATTCCTATGAATTGCCAGTAAATAATATAGTTGCGATGTTCCTAATGAGCCATCAGCACACGAGACTCTAATCTAGCTAAGTGATTGTTGATTTTGTATGAAGCAATTGAGCTTACCTTCCTACGTCTACTTAGTTGGTTCACACTGATATCTATGCAACAATGTTACTGAAGACTATCTGGATAGTCTGCGATTATATGAAAGGCAGACCAAATGATGATTCTTGCACGGTATATTTTCTGACTGTATGTCTCATGGCATAGTTTTCTTCGGAACCGCAATAACCAAGTATGTCTTACAGCAGACTCTATGCCTAGCTCATGTCACGTTCTTCGGTTACTACCTTGCTGTTTCTTGCTCTCTAACTAGTTCTAAAGCTTGCTCAAATGGGTCGGTAAACTGACCGGATGCAAGATTCAAGGTGATATGGGTTGCTCAACGGGAGGTCGAGATTACACCAGAGCTGGACTAACTTTCTCAGCAAGAGGGTGATTGGAGAACCCGCATTAACTTTGGCGGCTTAAATATATGGCCCGGGGAAGATATGCGGCGTACCATCCCATCCCCAAAGACAGAATGCTTAAGTTCTGTTTGGATCAATGCTAAACTTGGGGGGTATTGAGAATAATAAATATAAGCAGGTCGTACTTTGAGGCTGCTGAGTTGGTGCTATTCAGCGTATAAAGTCTTACTAGACCTTCGGCCCTAATATAAGCCTACACCGAATATTCAAAGGCTACATACTCGCCTTTCCCTCCATGGGGTCCTTGACTATGAAACAACATCTCGCCTGTTTTATTTAAGACTTGAGAGACGGAGGCTGGTATGGCGGAGAAATACAAAGTATCCTTATTTGAACATGTATTCTATGAAAACTCCATGATGAATATCAATGTATTGCAAACACTGTTCCACAGCTATGAAGTTTCATAGCATCATGGGCAACATGTAGAGAAAGCAGGCCCCAGGTCTAGGAATATAAAAGACCGCAACATCGTATTCTGGTTTAAGAGTAACATTGATTGGTAAAAGGGAGGTAAAAGGGAGGATAAAAACTACCTGAGCAGGGTTCTGCAAGGCTGACGGGCCGGACGAACGTCAGCCTCAAGACATGTTTTCTCCTTAGGTAACTACTTCGAGAGTGTAATCTCTTCGATCAATACTACTCTTCAAATAGTTCACGTGAAATAACTCTTATAGATAGAGGTAAACGAAAAGAGAACCAAAAATCGCTTCATCATGGGTATCCCCAACGTCCATAAACATCAACACAATCATAAAAGAAAAACCCAATTCACCCAGAACAATATGACATGGATATATTCTAGAGCTTCCAAAAATCAAGCAAGTTGTCGCTCGATATTGCGGGGCCCAGCGAGAAGCGATGCCGGAATCGGAGGGACGGGGCCACTATACACGGGCCCACGGGCTTCTCGGGAGCCAGGAGGAGGAGGGGGTGGAGGTGGAGGACGACCGTAAGCCGGATGGTGGGGTTGAGGTCGAGGATAATTATGGGGATAGGGAGGTACGGGTGGACCGGGGGAAGCTCCAGGTCCAGGCCCAAACCCTAGACGGCCAAAGTCCCCCGGAAGCCGCTGTGCGGGATAGCGGTAATGAGCAGAGTGTGGGGAGTTTGAGTCGACGTAACCCATGGATCGGTTCGGGTCGCCGGGAAGGGAGACAAGGGAGGCGCCAAGGGTGCGTGCGATGTCATCGAAGGTGACCTCCATAGGGGAAATGTAGGTTGTGTTGCTTTTTGCGGACCAGGCGAGAACGTGGCCGCAGACACGGCCGGTGGGGCGGTCGAAGACCCATGCGCCGGAGTCGCCAGGGGCTGTCGGATGAGGAGAGATTAGCTTGATGTAATGTTTACTCGATACGAGCTGATGTCTTAGGGTGGAATGGTGCTGTATGTTTACCAGCTAAGAAGGGCAACAAATGATGGGTGTGCATGACAAAAAAAACCAAAAAAAAAAAACAGGGTATCTAATTAAGGATCATATAGACAAAAACATGGATCCGCTGAAATGCACCTCTTACCTCCGAAGTTCCCATTGACGCAAAAGCTCGTCGAGAATGAATGCCGTCCCTGAAGTTTGACCAATGTCATAGCCTTGGATATCTGCCCTGTTTGCAGGCCACTTGTGCGGCCGCAACAATGAACTTGCAAGCCACCTAGCTCCTCCATCCGGGCTACCTGGTTCAGAAATATGGGCTGTGGTGGGATAGGGCGTCCCGGACGAGCAATACTGGATCTGGTAGTATCGAGAATGATGTTGCGAGGGTCCATGCGGGCTTCATCGACTTTGATGAGCGCCCAGTCAATCTCATGTTTCAAACCCTTTCGGGTCCAGCGTCGTACGCCAGATGATGCGTGGACATAGCCTAGGGAGTGTGAGGCTAGGTGCTCGTCATCGCGATCTTCTGGAGACGGAAAAAAGTCCTCGTGTACATCGTCAATGGCTGGTTGGGTGACAAGCAGCCGGGGTTCTTCGCCTGGTTCGATACCAGCAGTATCTCCGATGGACGCGGTGTCATCGTCATCGTCATCAGGGCCGACGGAATCATCATCTGATGAATCTTCATCTGAAAGCCAGAATTCATCATACCCAGACTCAAGGCCTTGCGATAGATCGTCCCCGTCCTCCAGATCGGAGATTTCGAAATCGAAGTTCGCGTCAGGCGAGTCATCCTCTGGATAGTCGTACATGAATCCAGGATGTGGATTATTTGATGTATCACGGGGCCAGTTCCCCGCCGATCTG